GGAGGGGGGGAAGGGGAGGGAGGGGTTAGGGTGGGGGACACGGTCTCGGATGCAAGAGAGGAGGTTTGGGCCATCACAGCGCGGTAGGGGGTCCATTACCCGGGGGGTGCGTGTGCCACCCACCCGGGGGTGGGGGTTGGGAGGAGGGGGAGGGCTCCGCGTGCCGGGGTGCTGCTTCGGGGGCCCCGCGGCTTGTTCCCGGGGGGGAAGTGGCGTGTCGAATTGTGTTCGGGTTTGGGTGGTTCTTAGGGTTTTAGCTGTTGGTGCACGTGTGTGCGTACGAGGGAGCAGTAGAACGTCCTTCCCCCTCCTCCCCTCTCCCCCTCTAAACCCTACTAGTTTACGGTTTGGCTATAATATTTCTGGCGGCTTAGGTAGGTAGGACTTCCAACATCTACGTCAATTTTTCATCCCGAGGTTACAGTCGTCATCCCGAGGTTACAGTCGTCACAGTCGCCACGGACGCCTTTCGGTCAGTTCTTTCGGTTGCTACTATCTTGCCCTGGCAGCAGCTTCAATCGCGTGTGGTTCGTCTTTCCCCTCTCCCCCTCCCACAGGTCCTCCGCATGTTGCTGGCCCTACTGCGACAGCATTTCCGGAGGGGCGGGGAGGCTGGGAAGGTGGAGGAGATCATTCGGGAGGGCAAGGTACGTGTGTACGAGTGTACGTATGTGCGTCTGTCTGTTATCCATCCGAGCTGCCGGCAGTAGGGGGCCTGGCAGGGGAGCCGCATAGTCGTACACGGAGGAATTGGTTTACAAGGTACGAATTGGATACGACGTGTCTTGAGTATTCCCCCCTGTGTACGGCGGGCGGGGTGTGAGATGGCGGTAGAGGGGTATGAGCGGGGCGGTGGCGGCGTGCACGGAGTTATTCCCGGCGCGGCTCCGTTACAGTGTTTTCCCCGAGCGGTAAGGGCTCACGGGCGAAAAACCCTAGATCCCTCAACGACGAACGATACGGCGTCGTACATCCTATTACGAACAATCTCCAAAGGTGTATATATATCCCCGTAATAATTATGACCCAGGGGACGTCGCTAGGATGTTTCTTGAGGCGTAGGATGCTTCTTGACGGTTCTACTGCTGCAAAGTACTGCTGCGGACAGTGCAGTAGCTGAGCCAGACGTCAACCAGGGCGGAAGTCCGTCCATCCATCAACTAGGGAACGTTGCGGGGGCTCCCCCCGAGCCTCAGAGCAAAGTCCACCATGTCATTAGTGGAGCGGTCAAGGATGAGGCGGTACGGCACTGGAGCCGTTGAGGTGCGGGCGGCCAAGTACCTCCCTGGTCTAAGTTGCCGTCTTGTGCAACACTATGACGGCCACAGACAGATTTCGTCGTCAACTGGTATCCAGGGCTCTGATAGAAGCTCCCTGAGGGGAGAGACAGGCCTGGCAGTTGGGGTGTGTGTGTGGGTTTACCAACCAGGAATGTGAGACCTGAGGAGAGAGGGTTGCCCTGTCACTGCATGGAGCGGTTTTGGTGTGAGATGAGAGCCAGACAACGACAATGTGGGGGACACCAATAGGGGTTGGTTTTACATGAGAACTGCATGGACACCCTGCCTGGGGTCAGGCAGGGACTTGCAGTGCCGGGTGCAGTGCCCATATACAGCAGCACCGTGTTGGTTATTGAGGGGGGGGGTCGGGGGGTTACGTCAAGGTTCGCGCCTAAACAAGCCGAGCACCGTCTGTATCTCTTGAGGTAAAGGGAGTGTAACCAGCTTTTCCTCACGACAAATTCCTTTGACAGGTCAGCAAAGGCCTTCAACAATCGACATTTCGCCTTGAACAAACCTTTAATTGAGCGCATGCTGGACAGTAACCGCAAAATATGAATTGGCAGTCGTGATGAGTCGCGCCCCCATCTGCTCCTGGCCCCCCTCCAAACCCGCGCATGTAGGCCCACGTGGAGCGGCTTGAGGCTCAGCGGCGGCTGCTGGTGGCGGCTCGCGCTGCCAGTCTGGCCCAGCGCATGTTGCTGTACGCACATGACGAGCTGGCTATGGCGACCGCGAGGATGAGACTCGCCAGGGAGGGTGAGGGGGGGCGTGGACGGAGAGAGGGAGGGGGTTATTTGCATTCACTTACACGCCACGTATGTTTTGCACATGTGTTGTGGCGAGTGGCGAGTGACACTGGCCAGGGGCTGATACTGCCCAGCCCCAACAGAAAGACCGCGTAAGCTCTCTCCCGCGGACGGGAGAGGGGCGTACCAGAGAGCCACAGGTCCGCTAGCCCCGCTTTCCTCCCCTTTTCCCGGGGGTTCCCTCTTTATGGGCCCCCCTTCCGGCCCCCCTTGCCGCCCCCCGGCCGCTGCCAGGTGAGCCCATAGGGCCGCATGAGGGCAATCTGAAGCTGCACCCCGCCGCCGTACCCGTCAAGAGTGTGGAGCTCACGAACGACCGCATCCTGGCGGAGGGGGACCTGCGGAGGACGTTGGGGACACTGAGGTGCGTGGGGGGTGGGGGCGGGGGATGGGTGTGGGGTTAGAGGGGGGGTAGGGGGGGGGAAGGACGAGCCACAGACGAGTGAAGCTGGGGGGGGGGAGGGTAGCGGGGGAGATGGGGGGCCAATGCGCCCTGCTTCACTTTCGGCTATTGCAGTCATCATCACCACTACCGAATAGCCAGAATGTGGGCTCCGAGACCCCACAGTGTGGGAACCCCTACAGCCCCCGGAAGTCTTTCCACTCTCGCGTTCCTGACATCTCCCCCTCCCCCGTCGTCATCTGCGGCATCCCCATCCCAACTCGTCAGGTACTTGCGAAAACTCCAAACAATCCAAAAGCTGCAGCAAGAACGGAAGCTGCAGCATCAACAGCAACAACAGCAAGGACAACAGCAAGGACAACAGCAGCAACCGGGAGGTCAGCGGCCGCAGGACGCAATAGCAGCAGCAGCAGTAGCAGCAACCACCGCCGCTACCCCAGCCGCCACACCAGCAGGCCCGTCCGGATACTGTAGCGGCACCGGAACAGCAGTAGCAGCAGCAGCAGCAGCAGCAGCAGCAGCAGCAGCAGCTACCCGCACTACGCCGCACGCCACCAGCACCAGCCCCACCCGACAGCTCGCCCTCGCCTCCTCCTCCTCCGCGTCCTCCTCCTCTTGCTGCTCCGCCGACATCCCCAACCCCTCTCCAACCACTACCACCCCCAACCCCCCTGCCACTGGTGTACCTCACACTCCTGTTCCTTCCAAGGACCTGGCTGCAGGAGCTGCTGCTGTGATGACCCTTTCGGCCCCACCCTGGTCTACTACTACTACGGCTACGGCTACGACTACTACTACTGCTGCTGCTGCTGCTGCTGCTGCTGCTGCTGCCACCGGCGCCATCGCCGCCAGCAGCAGTGATGGTGGCGGCCAGGGTGGGGGTGAGGGTGAGGTGGAGGTGGAGCTGTGTCCCATCTGTCATGACCCTTTGGATTGCGGTGGGTGTGAGGGCGACAGCGTCATCTACCCGTGCGGCCACCAGCTGCACCCGGCCTGCAGCGACGCCCTGGTGGCCAAGACGGTGCCGCCCAGCACCCCGTACCACCAGATGAGGGTCACCTGCCCCACCTGCCGGACCAGGTGAGGTAGCGGCGAGCTGGGGGGCTGGGGGTGTTAGGAAGGAGGAAGGAAGAGCCCTGAAGGCGGGGTAGGACGGTAGAATCCAGATCTACCAGATCTAGATCCAGACATCTGGGCGGCAGGTGGCCGCTTCGGGATATCGTCCCCACAACGAACAACTGACGTCCCACAACGAACAACGGCACCCGGGGCGGCAGTTAGTTGATGGATCGGGGAGAAGAAGTGTGGCTGATGGTTGCAGTGCTGGGTGATGGGACTGCGCCCCGCTGCGGTCCCCGCTGGTAAATGCGGATGTAGGGGGAGGGGGGGGGAGGGGAGGGCGGTGAGGGCAACTTGATGGACAGGTTGGAGGATGATTTGTTACACAGCTCCTGCTGGGGGGTTTAGCGGACAGACGGCTGGCTGGGCTGTTGATACTCTGTTTTTAGGGTGGTGGTGGTGGTGGTGGTGGGTTGTTTGAGCTGTGTGGGTTACTCTCCCCGCGGCGCCTACGGCCTGGCGGCCCTCCCATGCAGAGGCTGGCAGCAGAGCTTGGTATGGTGGCACACGTGCAGGTCCTCCTATCCGGCTTTCGGGCAAGCCGAGGGGAAAATCCTATGCGTGTGTGTATGTATGTATGTATATCTTATAAGGTGGACCGCATTAACGACAGCACCACTGCGCCCACCCCCAGCCCCACCTAACCCCGCCGCCACTGCTACGTGCTCCCCCCCCCCCGAGCAGGGTGCACATCGCGGACATCGCCTACATAGATGCGGGCCTGCACCGGGAAGAGGCGGAAGGGTGTGTGTGTGGTGGGGGCCCCGGCGGGGGCCCCGGCGGCGGCGGTGAAGGGCCCTGGGGGGCCGAGGCGGCTGTGGTGGTGCGGGGTAGTTTCGGCACTAAGATAGAGGCCGTGGTTCGCAGGGTCAAGTTCGTGTTGGGCCAGGATGCGGCGGCCAAGGTAAGTGTGATCCTATGGTGTATGTGTGTGTAGGTATGTGTGTAGGTATGTATGTTAAGAACAGCAACATGGACACGGGGCGGGTTCCCCAGGGGGGACTAGGGGATGGCGATTTACTTCTGGAGATGTGTGCCCCAATCCCCATCCCCGTCTGCGGCCGCGTCTCGGCAAATTGATATCAAGAGCGCCCAGCATCCCTCAGAGAGAGAAGTTTGGGGGCCCGGCTGTGTTTCCAGCTCTACAAGGGTGTTATACCACGACTTTTCAGTTAGAAACGGATTAGGGTGCCCCTCTAGCAGGGGAGAGCAGGGAACTGCCTCGGGAAAGGGGGCCTCTGGTGAAGCTATACCACCCTGTAACAAAAAAAAGAAAAAAGAAAAAAAGAAACGAACCGAAGGGCGGCTGCAGATCCCGTGATGTGCCCTCCGGGATATCGCAACAAACCACCGCGTCTGGAAGTATGTACCTGCTTCTCACATGTGTACGGTCCGTATGCGTACTTACTTACAAACAGACAAACGGCAGACGTCGTGGTGCCTGACAGGTCCTGGTGTTCAGTGGCTGGGTGGACCTGCTGGAGCTGGTGGCGGCGGCGTTGGCGGCCAACGCGGTGCCGTACGTAGTGGCGAGGGGGAGGGGCGGGATGACGGCCGCGCTGGCGGCGTTCAAGGACCACCCGGGGGAGGTGCGTTTGGAGGGGGCCCGCTCCAGGGGGGCCTCCAGGGGGGGGCGCGCAGCGGTCATTATGATGTGTGAAACAGGGGGTTGTATCTTCGCCCGTGGCAGCTACCCTGCGAAACCCTGCCTTCCCCGGTATTTCGGGGCACCCCTCAATCAATCACCCTAGTCAACTTCTCAGTGGATCGCTCAGGTTCCGCACCCACCACCAGCATCCAAACGGAATCTGCCGGGTCGACAGCGGCCCAACTCCATTCCTGGTCGGCTCGCAGGTTAGCTTTATCCCAGGTCACCACCGTCCATCAAGTAGGGACGCAATGCCTTCCACCATCGGAAGGACTTTTGACCCTAACGGGTATCGATCCCGGGATCTCCCGGGGGCAATGGTCGCGCGTTACCAGTAGTGCCAAACCCTATCATTATGACACTGATAGGAGTTTGCTGCCTGCCTGCTTACTTGCCTGGTAAAGAAATAGTGGAATGGCTGTGTGGTGAGCGGCATGGTCCGATAATGAGTGATGAGTGATGAGCTGCTGTTTGTTTGTTTTGGCGGGTGCTCTACTGGCGGGTGGTGTCCGCAGGCGGACGGGGTGGGGGACGAGGGGGACGAGGGGGAGGTTCCCCCAGGAGCCGACCAGGACCAGGACCAGCGGACAGTGGCCGCAGGGCATCACGGGAAGAGAGCCCTGACAGCCCGAGAGGATGGCGCCGATGATGATATTTATGAAGCAAACAGAAGTGCGGAGGCTGCGAGGAGCGGAGGAGAGGAAAAAGGCGAGGGTGAAAGCGGTGAAGGCGCCGCCGCCACGACATCGTCGTTACTGCCTGTGCTAGGCGGAGGCTGCGGAGGAGAGGAGGGCCAGGAGCAGCTGGGGGCAGCGAAATCGCCCAGTGGGGCGCTTGTTGCTGCTCGTCCGTTGTCGGCAAGTACTCCCGTGAAGCAAGTCGTGCAGGGGAAGCCACGTGTGCTGCTGCTGCAGGTGGGTGTTGGGGGAGGAGGAGGGGGAAGGGGGGGGGAGCAGGGGGTCGTACCGTCATACGACCAACTCCCCACGACTCGCAGTCCTTTCAAAACTCGCCACCACTTACACGTTCTATCCGCCAACGGCCCCCTGAGAACCCCTGCATGCTTCACTCCCCCCCGCACACGACATGCTGCAGTACATTCCCCCCCATTGCCGCCTCGAGTGAGCCATTACTGCCTCTGCACGCCAGCTTCTTGATGGATCAGCTCCATCATCACCCGCCTGGCGTGGCGGCTGTCCGTCGCGTTGCGGCGCCGACCGCCTTCTACTGTCCTCGCGCGGATGAAAGTGTTCTTGGAAGCGTCCCGGTCTCCATATTACCGTCCGATGCCCACTTTGGGTGAAGAAAATCAACAAATTTTGCATGTATGTCTGTATGTCTATATGTCTGTATTTATGTCTGTATGTCTATATGTCTGTATGTAGCCGTTTTCCCTTTCTGTAGCCTTCTGTAGCTGTACCCGAACTGTCCAGCCGTGCCCCCAGTCCAGTCCTACAGCGACCGTGACTGACTTCACAGAGGCGCATTACCGGCTGGGCAACCCCCCGTACCTCGGGGGCCTTTCCTGCCCGTCCCCCGGTGCTCTTCACCGGCTTCTCACTTCCCCTCCCCTCCCCCGTCTCTTCTGTTCCGTCCCCTTCCGCTCAGCTGAAGCAAGGTGGTGCGGGCCTGAATCTGACTGAGGCCCAGCACGTGGTGCTGGTGGAGCCGCAGCTGGACCCCGCGGCGGAGGCTCAGGCAGTGGGGCGGGTGCACCGAATCGGGCAGTGCCGTCCCACCCACGTCCACCGCTTCGTGGTGGTGCATACCGTGGAGGAGCAGGTGCGTGTGTGTGTGCGTGTGTGTGTGCGCCTCGGGGAAATGGGTAGTAGGCTCAGTAACTTTTATAATAATGTTTTATTGAGTTTATTAGTTAATTAGTAGTACTCGTGTTGGGGCAGGAGCGAGTATGAGCGGAGGCGAATGAGGCGAGTGCCTGCTGCGGCTGCATTCCTGGTTGTGTACTTTGTTTTGTGGTGTGGTTTCTGGTTCACTACGGGATGGGGTGGGTGGCTACATGGGCGTTACTCGCCGTGCGATTGGCCTGATGCTCGTTTCCTCGCGGACTTCGTGGCCCCTCCGCCATCCCCCGGTCCCTGTCAACCCCCCCTTGTTGGTGCCCACCTCTCCCTCTCCGTGACTCGCCCTCCTCTCCTGGCGCTGGTCCCACTGCTGCAGGTGTACAAGTTGGCGACTGCGAGGGCGCGAGGCATGGACCTGTCATCTGCAGTGCCTGGAGGCGGTGGTGGGGTTGGCGGCGGCCATCACCACCATGGGGTCAGGGGCGGCGGGGCGGGAGGCGGCGACGGCTCCGAGCACCTCACGGTGCGAGACGTGGCTATGCTGCTGGACACCCGGTGGAGTTCACCACCTGCCATCAATACCACTAACCCTGCCGCCGCCACCGCCACCACCGCCGCCACCGCCGCCGCCGCGTTGTAATAAGTGGTTGATGCGAGCAGATGCAGCACCGGCAGTTTGGTGTTCCCGGTTGCAGCAACAAGTGTAATCTGGCAGCCCAACGTTTGTGTGGGGCCTGGTGTGTGTTAGGCCCTACAGGGTAGGCCTTCCAATGCCTCGTCTTATGGGTATGTGGTTGAGCCCCCTGGGTGGATGGCCTCTTGCCCCTGGCAGTGATTTCTTTGCTTAGCGTTTTTGAGTCCTGAGGGTGTGCAGGGTGGTGGGCTGGCCAGGTGCCGTTGGGGGACATGTGTTTTGTTAGGGCCTGCTGTGTGGTGTCTTTCACACAGTTCTCGCAAGACGACATGCTGCAGCATAGTGTGCATAGGGGCAGTGGAGGCTTGTGTTGGCCGGTGCTACCTCTTGCAGCATTTGGTGCTGTTCAAGGCAATGGCTTGCTACTGTGTTCTCGGGGGCTTGTTGTGAGCCGAGGGAGCAGCCAAGGGGGTCAGTGGAACCTCCCAATGAAGCAGTCAGGTTCTGTTGTGGCTTTTAGGGGAGGCCTTGTTCCAGCTCACAAATGTGTCGTAATCGTGGATACGAGTGCAATTGTCGGACCACATGGTAACCTGCACATGTATAGTTGATCCAGTGGTCTTAATGTAAAACGTTTGACAATCTGGGGAGCATATGGGGCCCGGTATGTAGATGTATAGTGTACAGGTCGTGTCTGTTCCTTAGCGTGCCGCTGCTGCCGCCGAGCGCCCCTTGACCCCGGCCTCTTAACCTCTCACCTTCCATGACAACCTCATGCAAGATAATGAAAAATTCCTGACGTGCCCAATGTGCGCCTGTAGCCCGGCACCAAGCCATATCACTTTCGTGAGGAAGTACGGCATGGCCCCACCCATAATAGTAAGCATGCAAGTGGTCGCGTTCTGAGTGTGTGCATGAGTGTGTGGAGCTGGGAAGCTCAGTTGCCGCCTGGAAGAGTCGGAGGCTGCAGCCTCGAGGGGTTGCTGTGGTCCCAGTTGTGAATGTTAACTCGTAGCCGGGGCCCCAGAGAGGCTGGAGGCAGCATGCCTCTCCCGCGTGATTATTGAGTGATTGTTTTCAGAGTAGTGCGCCCACACCCGGCCCTACCCTATCATGAAGACTGCTTTGATTGCTTGCAGGTATCTTCTTTTTGTAACGAAGACTTCTCATGAAAACCAGTATCTTGTTAGGTGATAGCATCATGACTCCTGACTTGACTGAGAGAGTTGATCTCAACCGCCACAAATACTGTCACACTCTAATGACTGACTTTTGCCTGCACAGCGGGCAACTGAAACTGTTGGACTGTTGACAGTTGTAGTATTGAACAGTTTCACTAATGGCAACTGTTGACCGTTGTTGACCGTTGAATTGTTTCCTGTTGGACGGTTGGCCTGAATGCCAGCTTGCCTGTTCACCAAACCGCCTGCCTTACCTACCTACCTACCTGCCTAACTAGCTATCTATCTACATGCCGGACCTTCTTCCCGACCTGCCCCACCTCCTTCTCGACCTACCTCACCACAGTTCCTACCTGGACCACCTTTGCAACCTGCTCCACCCACTGCCCGAGGGTAGGCACAGTGTATGTGGCGTAAGGGCCCGAGACGGATCCCTTCAAAGAGGGAGATATGTCGTAGCTGGTACACAGTGCGGCATATGTGTCAAGTACAAATACGTGGGAAGCGATTCACCGGCATCTCAAAGGCCTTTTCAGCGGCCAGCTACTATTTCTTACGGCGTGAGCAACTGTTTGTCAAGCGTTCTAAGTGCCACTGGGCCCAGCCTCAGGTCGAATACCTTGGTCACATCGTCTCCAACGATGGCATCCGCATGGATCCCCGTAAGACTGCTGCGGTGCGGAACTGGCCTACCCCGACCAATTTGCAAGAACTGGGGAAGTTCTCGGGGCTGACGAACTATTTCCGTAAGTTCATCGAATGCCATTATTGCCACACCTATGACAAAGATCTGACACAAAAAGAGGCCTTTGTATCTCCTGACTGCTGGGGTCCTGACTGCCAGCAAGCTTTCAATACACTTCAGCATGTTGTCTGAAGACATTATCCTGCGTTGACTACTCCCAACCTTCCAGTGTGGAGGTCGTAACTGATGCGTCCTTGCATGGTATGGGAGCTGTACTGCTGCAAAACGGGAGACCAATTGCTTCTACCAGTTCTCGGGGGCCGAAACCAGTTGCACCATTGTTGAAAAAGAACTTCTTGCTGGGCTGAGCACACTCGAGGAGTGGCGGTGTTATCTGGAGGGTCGACCGTTCACCCTTAAAACCAACCACAAACCCCTTACATTCCGGCAAGGCGTGCCTACCCAAAACCATCGACAAGCCCGGTGGATGAAATTTACTGCCCGGTTTGGGAGTACCTGCAAGGCATTCTTAACATCGCAAATACCTTAAGTCCGCACCCTTGCCTACGTGCAGCCATCCTGTCTGTCGTTACACGCAAAAATGCTGCGAATTTGTGCAACGACTCCAATCTGCCTATGCCACGGATCCCTGGTTTTCCGACAAACACAACGCTGGCTATTTACCCATGAAAGTGGGCTTTGGATCCGCATCCGCACTGAGGGTACACATTTCGGTAGGTTGTCGCCCCGAATGACGGCTTGCTGTGTGAGCTTCTGTCACGCCTTCATGACGACCCGCTGGCTGGGCACCCTGGCTGCACCCGTCTGGTCGAGGTTCTCCATCGTCAATTCTGGTGGCTTCGGATGGCTAAGGGCGCTGAAAACTATGTCCAGAACTGTGAGCTGTGCCAACACAAAAAAATATATATGTACAGGTTAGGTACTACTGGTAGGGCATGCACCAATGCCCCCAGGAGATTCCGGAATCGAGACCTGACAGGGTAGAAAATCCTTCTGATGATGGAATTCCTTCGAAGGTAAAGTGCCCCTAGTCGATGGACGGTGGTGACTTGGGATAAGCTTACCTTGCAAGCTGACCAGGAATGAAGTTGAGCCGCTGTTGATCCAGCAGATTCCGTTGGATGCCGGTGGTGGGTGTGGAGCCTAAGCAATCCACGGAGAAGTTGACTAGGGTGACTAGATGAGGGTGCCCCGAAATACCGTATCATTAGCTGCAAGTAAGTTTAAGTTGCGCTTGCAGGGGCGGCGCCCAGCACAGTGGCCTCAGTGCTTGGCGGAGAAGCCGCACTAGCTACATCCCTCACCCCGCACACCGGGAGGAAGAGCCGGAACCATGTCCGCGTAAGAATGTCGTTACCGTCTGTAGCCATACTTTGATTCGTGTAAATTTGGGTCATGTCCATCCAACAAAAATTCTTGGGCCTCCTCCCTATGCACCTCCTCCCAGCCCGTCGCACCCACCATGCCGCGCACCAAACTGCACCGCAAGACCCGGCAAGGAGCCGCAGCCTGCCCTGCACCCCGTGTCCCATACACGAAACCAGGAGCCTCCGAAAGCCGCATCAAGGGGCCTCCCTGTTATCAATCGCGCAACCCAATAAACATATACATAATTGAACCAATATGCGCAAACCTTTATTCCTATTGCAAGCTTGCTGTTGGGGGGCGAAGTAGCCGGCTCCAGAGGGCCTCCAGCTCAAAGATAACGCTCCTTCCGCCAACACAGGACAGAACCCACCCGGGCCCCTGCAGCAACCTAGCATCCCTCCCAGCCCCTTCCCACCGGCAACCTGTATGTATGTAAGGTACCCGGTTGGCGTCAGGCAAGTACCCTGGCCCACAGCTGGCTGCGATACGCTGAGCTGAATGGGCAGAGCACTATGGTGGTATGATTGGGTACTGTTGGGCTGGACGGGTTTTAGGGTTCTGCCCGGAGGACCCGGAGGAGCCCTGAGGGTGCTCGGACTAGGTGTGCTGCAGCAACAGCCGAGGAAAGGCTCAAGGCCGCAACGGTGCCACACGTCCGCCGCCAACATCGCTGCCCTTCCATAGGCTACTCTGGCGGTTCATAGCTCCCTGCCGCTCACCAATAAGAGGTCACGAATACATTATCACTTATCACTGAGATTACGGAAATACATCAGCCGGAGGTCAAGTCCTACTACTACTGCTACCTACTCATCTGAGTCACAGTCCCGTATCGAGTGCATGTGTTGAGGATGCGGATCCCGTTCCGTTACTTTGCTCACAATGATGGAATGAACCACCAGAGCCTGGGCCCACAGCGCGAAGCCCAGAAGGCAAGGACGCGACACATCACGGCGCATCACGGAGGATGGAGGAGGTGGGATGGGACAGTGCGAGTAGGTGGCTGTGTGTGGAGCTGGAGCTGGAGATCCGGAACTTCCTACGATGCCGTACAGTCACTCTTGCCAACTCCCGTTCTCCCCGTTCTTGTCGTTCGGCATGACGGCCAAAATATCAATCAGCTTGCAGTGCTGTAGACCCTCCCTACCTCAAGAAATCCTATCCTGGCCGCAGCTCCAGCAGCTGCACCAGCAGGTGTGCGAAAGGCATCTGGCCCACTGTCCAACCAGCTAGCTAGCTAGCAGCGCACGTCATCTTGTCATACAAGGCACTCCAGCCATAACCCCAGGTCAAGCGACCAGGCTACGCTGGCCTCAGCCCAAGGGAAGGAGGTCAGGAGAAAGGCCACCGCGCCCGCGGCTAACACCGTCCCGGACCCGTGGACGGCCCGCCGCCGCCGCCGCCGCCGCCGACCCCGCGAGGGGAACGGAGCCTCAGCGGGATAATCGTCATGATAACGAGGAGCCAACAGACGTTACGGCGCTCGCAGCCGCCATGGCGGCCGCCAAGCTGTCTGCCGCCAACTTCCGTGCCGCCGCCAGCTGCTCCGCCACGTCATTGTCAATGCCCACACCGCCACCGCCACCGCCACCACTACACCCTGCGGCACAGCCCTCCCCAATTTCCTCGCTTGCCACGCAACCATGCAACCGAGGCCACTCGCCGCCAGCTTCTGCCTCATACCTCTTGCCGCAGGACTCAGCCTCCGCCGCTGCTAACGCCGCCAGCGCCGCCGCTTCAATCGCCTCTGACTCAGCTGCTGCCGCCGCCGCCGTCGCTGCGGCCTCAACTTCAGCCGCCAGGGCGCGCGCCGCGCTGACCCCACTTCCGCCACCGATGCGGCGGCCCTTTGCGGGGGACGACGATGCCACGCTTGCACCCGACCAGGACGATGCTGAAGGGAATGGTGCACCCGATTGCCCGAGCCCGGCAGGACTGGCTTTATCTCGCGGGTCCCTGGCCAGCCAGGCCTGCATCATTCAGCAAGGATGTAGCACAACAATAAATAACCGTTTTGCCAGCACTTAGGATAACGTCGGGATCACCGGCCAACGCTTTCCATTGCGCGTGGGCCCTCCGTTGGTTGCAAGGCCATGGTCTTTCCCTCACCACCTCCTTCCTAAAGCCCCTCCCCTGGACGCCACGAGGGCCCCCTAGCCAGCTGGGCTGGGAGAGGTCAAGAGGTATTCCGGCGGCCCCCTGCCAGCCGGGCCCCAAGCGGGTCCACCACTAGCCCTCCCGCAGCCAAGAAGGCGCCCAGAGGAGGGGTACCACCGATGGCGGGCTCGTTCCCGCTGCGCCTGATACATCTCCAGTGCGCAGTCACCTACACAGCAGCACACCACGCCGCGCCTCTCTACCCACCCCCTCCAAGCCCGCTCCGCACCTGCAGCCCTTCATCAAGCGCCTGCAACCCTGCCGTAATGCTGGCGATGCCCGCGAGCCCCTCTCCAGCTGATGGCCCCACATCATCACCACCAGCGCCGCCTCCACCTGCGGCCAGCAACGACGTCTGCCTGACCGCCGCCGCCGCCCCGCCCGCCGGTCGATGTGTACCCGCGCCGCCCTGCCGTGCGAGGTTTCGGAGGAACGCTGGCAGTGGCAACCCCCCAACACCGCCACCCTCCTTATCACCAACACTACCGCTGGCACACGCCTCGCCGACAACGGGTGCGACCCGCGTCGACGTCGCGGGCGGCGTTGATGTCTGGCTGTCGTACTGCGGCGTCTGCACGCGCGATGTAGCGGTGCTGCCCGTGCCATCTCCGCGGCCTGGCGGCGGGTCCCAGACGTCCCCTGGCAAATTGCGGCCGCAACGGAAGCGGTAGCGGATCATCTCGCAGGAAAGGTAGAGCTCCAACGAATGGGTAGCGCTAATGAAGCGTATCCCTAGGTGTGGATCGAGCTGCATGTCCACATGGGGAGGTGGCGGCGGCGGCGGAGCACGAGGAGAGGAGGACGCTAGCGGAAACGGCAGCGATATAGCTACAGCCGATGGCGGTGATGGCGCGGCAGGGGCGTCTAGGTCGCGCCAGCGGCGAGTGATCTCGCCAGAGGGGCTGTAGCACGTGCCTGTACAGTAGCAGCCGGGTTAGCAGGAAGGGTAAGTAGGACGGGCAGTAAAGTTCAAGAAATGTTCAAAATCACGTACGATATGGAAGTAGTAGGTAGTCTGTTCGGCTTTCTTTTGCGGGAAACCCCCTTTCTATCCGGATCCGGATCCAGATTCGCCTGCGGAGCTGCGGGTGGTACAGCACCCTTTGTGGCACCTAGCTCTTTCCGTCTTGACGCTCAAGAAGGTAAGGCAGGTGCGTGCGTCGTCATCTGAGGTGCCGGTGGACAACGGCTGAAGGCCTAGACGGGGGCGCCAAAGCGTTTGCTCGCGATTGCGTCACGCGATCTGAAACGGGCGCACAACTTCTCCTCGTTCCTGGCTGACAAGGCCTCTGTGGCACTACGACACAGGTCACTCACCCTCTCAAAAGCACACACGCACACCTGCACACACGTTCAAGTCTTGCCTGGATCTGGCCCCGTTTTCCCATATGAGAACACTACCCCCGACGTCTCCCTGCCGCCGCGTATATTCTTCTTCTCATTCTCCTCCCCCACCTGATCCAGTGGACCTGCTGTACATGAGCATCAGGCCGCCACTGGGGAACTGCACGAAGCCGCCCTGGGCGTCCCACGACACCGCCACACCGCCGGCCCGGTACATCACCATCATCTTATACGAGACCGGCTCCACCGACGCCCGGCCGCCACCGTCGGCGACCTCGCCACCGCCATCGTCGCTGCTGCCCTCTGACGACGCCGGCGCTGTAGCATATGCGCTGCCGTACTCAGCGTCGACGGTAACGGCCATATCACCGCCCGGCCAGAACACCGCCGCTGAGCCGTCCCGCCGTATAACGATTGCCTTGCCCCCGCCGCGTTGTGCAGGATACTTGGCCTCGTAGTCGATAAAATGTGCGTCGGGCGGCGGCTTGGCGACCGCAGCCGTCGACGCACTTCGCGGCTTGGCAATGGCCCCATTATACCGTGTAGGGAGTTTGGAGGAGTCGAAGCACGGTAGGGCGTCCAGCACCGCCTGGAACTGAGTGCCCTGCAGCTGCGCTGCCGGCCGTGTGCTGCCGGCGGCTGCGGCGGGTAGTGGCGGCCGCCGACCGCCACCGCTGCGCGGCAGCTTGGAGCTCCCTGCAGACCTGAAGGACGCTGACGACGCGAAGGAAGCGGAATTGGACGCGCTCGCCTCCAGAGCCGCAGTCGCCGCCGCCAACGCCGCATCCGCATCGTCGGCCACCCCCAGCCCCAGGTCGCCATTGCTGTTGTCAGCGTCCGGCTGTTGCGTGGAGCCGGGGCCGACTGGCCAGTGAGGGGGACGGCAGGAGCTGAATAAAGACGGGAAACGGGAAGAAAGGCTTATGCGTGCCTATGCGGGGGCCATAACTGACGCGCCTTGCTAACTCGAAAACCTACGCTGACGACCTTGCAATACTCAACCCCGAGCACGGCGAGTTCACATGACCGGAGCCGAACAACAGTTTATTACCATAACATCGACAATGGTTCGCAGGACTGGAACTGGCTGTACTCCCCCATCCTGGGGCCCGGCAATGCAAGGCGCTGTATGTGGAGCGGCATATACACGGCACACATCGCATCACGCCGCATCCCTGTAGTGGTCCTGCAGTAGAGGTAGTCGTACTGGTGGTGACGGTGATGGTGGTGGTGGTGGTGGGAGCCCCAATGCGTGCTTGCGCAGAGAAAATGCGGAGCGACGTGTATGCTGTGCAGGCTGGCAGGGGCTGGATTAGGCAGGCGTAAAGGAGGGAGGAGGAAACCCCCGGGGACGGCCGTGCCGTGCTCGTTAGGGCTCCCAGCTATCCCATGCTATAGGCCAGGCCTGCGGCTGTCCTTGCCGGCACACCCATCAACCTGCGCAGTCGCTGGCTAAGACATTCCTCTCAGCCAAGCTTGTAGTCATCTCGACATTTGTAACACGAACGCGGGTGGCAGGTGCAATGGAAACGGCGGCACTGTACTTGCCCCCGCTGCCATAACTGAGCCGCATGCCAAAACTTACGTGAGTCGAATGAGTTGGATCTCGCCTTGCGCCGCAAGGCCGCCGCCGGGAGCCGCGAGTCCGGCAGTCCAAGCGCGCCGCTGGACGGGCGACCCTTGGGTCGGCCCGGACCCGGACGAGCGCCAGCACCTGATGAGAACCTCCCACCGTCTCCACTGTACGAGGGAGTCCGACTGCTGCTGTCGCCTCCACCGGACCCTGCGGCGGAAGCGACACAGTGGTGGGTCCTACTGGGGCAGATATAACAGGGCTCCAGACACAGCAAACATGCTAAGGCGTGGCATAACGTCCCTGGAAAGTTCCAGGGTCGACCCCTCGACCGTAAGAGAGTGGATGCAACCCCATGCCGATGGCGGGTGATGGAACCGGTTATAGTGTGGGACCTGCGAGCAGGCCAGGATTGGAGTGGACGCCGCCGCGGGGCATGGTGACCCTGGCAGGTGTCAGGTTCAATTTCGAGAAACAGTGGGATCAAAATCCCTCGACCATGACAAGGTGGCTGCACTCCTACCCCACGCCGATGGATGGTGAGAGCCCCGGTTATAGAGTGGAGTCAACGCCGCAGCTGACCACCACGCAAATTCCACTGGATGCCGGTGGTGAGAGCTCTGTTCCCGAACGAAAGTCACTGACTTCGCAGATGTCGGCGCACGCGTGGGTGATGAAAAGGATGAGGGTGCCCCGAAACATCAGGGAAGGTGGTAGGGGAACTGCCAGGCTAGCGGCGACGGGTGGAGTCGACGGGTATACGCCCTATCTCACACGGTCATACTGGTCTCAGACTGAGTTTGGGTTCCAAACAGTAATGGATGTGGGTGATGATGGGATTCAGTCAGAGTAGTGCTGTCCCGAGAAAGGAACTCGGTCGGTAAGGGATGTATTTGAAGGAACCGCTCGAAGCAGCTCCACTGGCATAGGCAAAACAAAGGCAGGGACGATTGGAGAACTGGTGCCTACGACCCCGGGCCGCTGCCGCCACCGAACCGGCGGCGCACAGTGAAACGCGAGGCCTACCCACTTTGCACCGTCAAAAGCCCGTGGCAAAAAATGCACCCACGCGGTAAGCGCCGTGCGCGTCGTGTGTATTTGCCTTCCATCCAGGTTTTGGCGCCTTCCGTGAACCCCGCAGTTGCCTGCAGCTGTGCGCTGTTGGGCACAACTAGTGGCACTACCACAACGGCATGCAGAAGCGCGAGCCATTGACCTCAACAGTCAGTTATTACGGGAGTCCCAGATCACGGGTTTTAGGGTTTTAAACCAAAGAGCAGCAAAAGCAGCAAGCAGCGCTGCCCACCGTCCGCTGTCCTTACCAGCCCAACCCTGGCCTGCCTACTGACCCACCTGGCCTGCTCCCCAGCGACCTGATGGGCCCCAGGCTGGGTGGCCCAGCGGGTGCACTGGCTGGGGCTGCGGGTCGAGAGGACAGCAGCGAGTCCAGATCCAGAGCCTCACTGGCCTGCCGGTGTGGGGAGGGAAAGACGAACCACAGACCAGACGAGTGATGCTGATACCAGAGATAGACAGACGCTGCAGAACTTTATAAGAAGCTACCAACCAGTAGTAAATTAGGACGTAGTCATTGCGGCGACGTGGCCAGCTAGATGGGGCTGTGAGGGGGGAGTTCCAGAAAAGGGGTATGTGCCCTGAAAGGTCAGCGGGACGGGGAGACCTGTGTGGGAAATGCAAACGTATCACATGCCGGTGTCCATAGCAGGAGGGGGACCTGGCAGGTGGGGATTGGCCTTGGGGTGCATTGGGGTGCCTTGGGGTTGGGGGATAGGGCAGAGGGACACGGATAAGTAAGCCGAGTGATTGGGGAGGAAACTGGAGTGCTGGTACAGGGAGGGTACGGGCGGGGGTTACGAGATACAGTGAGAGATGTAGGTTGGGGGAGCATGGCAGAAGTGAGCTGCGATGCCACGCAACCCCCATCACCCACACCGTAGGCCATAGCCACCTAACCAACCATGCATATACACCCACAAAACGCACCGCGCGCCCAGGCCGGCGGTCTCAGCCAGCACCGTGTACGCTACACGCTCGGTATCTTTGGTCCGCTCTCCGCCCGCTCGCGTCCTGCCATCCAGCCATCTCCCAGACCCCGCTGCTCTCAACCGCAACGCTAGCCGCCCTACGCACCTCCCTCTCCGCTTGCTCCACTGGCCGCCCGTCAATGACCCTCAGCCCCGGACACAGCCGGAGGGCCACCAGCCGCACCGGCTCCGCTGGGAGAGCCTGGCGAGAAGCCCGGGAGCCCGGGGAAGGGATTTGGGATTGGGGGTTTGGCGGGAAAAGGATAAAGATAAAGGGAAACCGTAATTTCCCTCCACCTTTTTGCGGATTTGGGAACGCATTACTGGTCTTGCACCTGAGTGCACGGCTTTCTTACTTATCCCCACCCAGGCCCCGATTCCCCCCTCCTTCCCTCCGTCCCCGTTCTTCCTCTCTCTCTTCCCCACCTTGGCCAGCGGGTTGTTTGCAATGGCCAGTCTCTGCAGCCCCGGCAGCCCCGCCAGCACTCGGAGCTCCCCGGGGGCCGCCACACAGTTGTTCTGAAGCCATAGGTCCGCCAGGCTGCTAAGGCCGGACAGGGGGCCCAGGGAAACAATCTGCAGGGGGGGGTGAGGTGGAGGCGGAGTGATGCACAGTCCCTCACAGGCTACACGGTAACCAACCGGTTTTGGCGGTTGCCGGTTGGCAGTACGGCAGGTGCAGATTTGGAGACTGCAGCGAGGCTAATGGCAGGGGTGTTCAGTTGGCCTCCTCGAAGGCATGAGGGAAAGGGTGAAGGACGGGACCATACGGGGGAGGGAGGCAAGGACTCAATACCGCAAAAGCCAAGCCCCGCCCACCCCGGCACACACACCTTATTGTGGCTGGCATTTAGAGTGACGAGGCACGATAGCGCCTGCAGACCCTGCACATGGAGAACAGGTTGGATGGGGCCCGCGTGTGTGTGGACAAACCCGTTGGATTCCTGGCGCCGCAGATACGACATGCAAATGTCTTGCCGCTCAAAACTCCCATAGATCGCTCCCTCGCCCCAACCCCCTACCCCATTCCGCCTTCGTATATAGTATCTTAGTTGCAGTAAAGTGGTCGATCACCTGCATTCGTGTATGAGTGCGTTGCTTTAGTGCCACCCCTTTGCCTCTAAAATCCACTTTCCCTTCTCTCGTCCCCCGGTCTCATTCCCCTCCTCTGTTTTATAAACCCCTTTTCCCCACCTTGAGGCTGGCCAGCTGGTTGTGGCTGACGTTGAGCGACTGCAGCCGGACAAGGGCGGCCAGACCGGACAGCGACGCCAGCGAGTTGAAGGCCAGTGACAAGGACCGCAAGTTGACGGCCTGGGACAGCGCGCCCACATCGATGGCGCCCTGGGTGAAAGTGCGGAGGGGACGTGGAAAAGTGTTGTCGGCAGGAGGCGAAGGCCCACAAGGAATGAGGGAGCCAGGGTTGCATCAAATGCGTCACAACGGTGTAAGGGGCTTGGGCAGAGAGTGGCATTAAGCAATCGCAAAGTAATCTTTCCGGTGACGAGCAGAAACGGGATGTTCGCGCTGCTGCACCAGTGTGCTATAATTGCGACGGATAAGGCGGGCTAGTGCAAGTCATCCGCAGATGAATTGTCTGTTTGGTGGAAGGGGCGCGGGGCAAACGACACGTCGTTTGGGTTGGGGCAGGTAGCAGCCGGCTAGGCAGCGAGCTGTTTGCCGCCACATGCCAACGAAGCGTGCAGAACCCTGTGTGTGTTACACTCTGTCTATCTTGACCCGGATTGTGATTCCATAGCCCCATGGCCTGGGTGTAAAGCGACGCCGGGTTTATCCCCTGAGGTGGGGACGTGTTCGCGTTGCCGGGGCCCCACCTACTTTGTTGGTGAATATGAGCTCCTCAACGTCCTTTAAGTCTGAGGTGAAAGCTGCCTCCTTGATGTCCTGAGGATGGCGAGCAAACCGAAGTCGTGACACCCCGACACATGCGTCCAGGCGCCCTTGACTTCACTGCAACACGCACCCAAGCTGTAATCGACATTCCTGGGTCGCTTTACGCTCGTACAATTATCGGTAGCTGTTTCATACATGGTCGCACGCCTCGGTGCAGAGCCCGAAGCCCACGCGCCCCTCCAGGCTGAACGGTCTTTGCAAAGGGCTTAACAAGCTATTTTCTAAGGAGCGTTTTTCCAGGGTAAAGGGGTAGGGCGCAGCAAAGTAAGATTAAACGTTTCGCTATGGTGACCGATACAGATAATGGCGTTCAAGTCCTCCGTTACGTAGTAGCCATACTTCTGTCAGCAGACAGGTGATTCATAGTACTGTTTTGCCCATGTCCCCAGCACAGGTCGTGCAGCTCGTATTTGCAGGAAGCATGATGCAAGCGGCCATGCAAAATTGACATGAATTCAGAAACATTTTTACGTTTCGATGTTGGAGGCACATTTTTGTAGGTTTGATGCATGGAGTTATTACTTGGACTTCTGCTCGTCGTCAAGCAGGGCGCTGGAGCGCTCCTTTGAGCCGATACTAATAGATCCATACTTCTAGGACAAAATATTTCTTGTCTAACGTTAGCAAGCTAGGAAGCGGTTCCGCCAGAGCACTTCACAACAGCTCAACAGTCTGCGCTTCAGCACACGTAACCTACTGCAGCATGGCATCCGATCCAGGAGAGACTCCTAAAGATGAAACGGCTGGTGTAGCTGTGGATACGTACGAGGAAGAACTTCTTGACTACGACCCTCATGACGAAGACTTGCTTGCCGAAGAACTAAAAGCCTATGGCGAGGAAGGTCTGGCTGATGTCATGCACTACGAGGCAAAGCAATTGGCGCGACATGAGGTTGGCACGGAAGTCGGCGCAGGCCAAGGCGCCCATGAACGGGCTGCTTTTCTTGGGGAAAGGGAAGGAATGGCGCAACTGAAGACCAATAACTCCGATGAAACCCCACAACCCGTGAAGTCCAACAGCGTGCCCGACCAGGAGGAAGCCGGTGGCCGCACCGGTGGCCGGCAGATGCACGGCAGCCGTGGTCATGATCGTGAACCGCAAGCCGATAACCACGAGGGCGTCAACAGCTACAACCAAGGTCAGCGCAATGCATCCGGGTGGCGTCCTGAACAAGAAGACGACCGTCGGCGAGAAGACCGCCACCTACACGACAGGCAGCGCCTTGAGCGTGACCCCAAGCGAGAGGAGCGCGGCGGCAGCTTGCAGGAAGTGGACAGGGACAGAGATCGGGAGAGAGACCGTGACCGGGATCGTCGGGACTGGGATGTTGACAGGGGTCGTGATTCCGGTGTCCGAGAGTGGGAGAGGGAGAGGGACCGGCCTCGGGGGGACACTGAGCGCGGCGCCGCCTATGACTTGGAGCGGGATCGCCCTCCCGTACGGGCAAGGGAACGGGAGATGGAGCAGACTCAAACCACGCCGGCACGCCACAGCCTGTCTGAACCAACACGCGCTTATCACGACGACCGTGCTGCCGCTGGTGACCAAGCTGCAGGCGGCGGTGCCAGTGCTAGCAATACCAGACCGCTATCTCGGCCCTCCACAGCTGCCTCTCCACCTCGCCCCAGCAGCACTCCTGCAGCTGATCCGGGTCCAACTCGAGAGGAGCACCGTGTGATGCGGGCACCGTATGGACCACCCAACATGCGGCGTGAAGATCCGCTGCCACACCAGCAGCAACGCGGTCAGCCAGGCTCCTCTCCTCTGGCCGTCGGTGGCAGCCTGTCAGAGCACAGCGGTCCACAGGACCGTGAACGGGAGCGAGAACGGGAGCCAGGCACGGAACGGGATCGCAAGCAGGATGTACCGCAGGATGTACCGCGCCGGGATGCTAGTCCTCCGCCGGATCACGACAGTTGCGTGGAGCGAGCGAGATGGGGGGAAGAGCGAGGTCGCGTGCGGGAACGAGAACGGGAGCACGAGCAGGACCGCGGGCGGGAACGGGACAGGGGAGAAGGCCGGCGCTCACAACCGCTACCTGACGACAGACGACTACACGCCCCTCCGAGCTTGGGCTCAGGGCCTGTAAGGGAGCTACCCAGGGTTACCAGCCATGATGGCAGAGCCAATGGTGAGCCAAGGCGTAATCATGATTGGCAGATAGGAGGGGTGCGGCCCGATGACGGGCGACCTGGCGGTATGGGACGATCTGAGTACGACCGACCTGGTAGCAGAGGCAGACCGGAGTACGACCGCCCCGGCAGCGGCAGTAGGACAGAGCTGGACCGCCCTCCGGGGGGAAGCAGCAGGCCCGAGTACGACAGGCCCAATGATGCCAGCATGAGGCCCGAGTACGACAGGCAAGGTGCCGCCGCAAGGTCCGACTATGACCGCCCTAACATCTGCAGTAACAGCAGATACGAGTACGACCGGCCTGGCGCAGGTGGCACCAGGCCTGAATACGATCGCGCTGTAAGGCGCGAGAACGGAGGCGGGAGTATTGGTGGCGGCAGCAGTGGCTTGGATTACGAACAGTATGGTTCTGAAAGCGGAGCTCGAGCTTTGTTGAGTCGTGCCAATTCAGCCCCAGGACAAGGACCGGCCCGGGAATACCGCAGCCGGCCAGATCCTCCACCGCCAGGACCTGGCCCCGGCCCCGGTACCAGGGGGGAGGAGTCCCCACGTAGCCGCCGTGCAGTGCGCGAGCGGGAGGGCCGCAGCGGGGCTGATGACCGGGAGCACGAACATGATCGACATCGCGACCAAAGGGGCTACCATCGGGACCGGGAAGTCCGCGAGAGAGAGCTCCGAGAACGCGACCGGGATCTGCGAGACCGGGAACTAAGAGACAGAGAGCTACGAGATCGGGAACTACGAGAACGCGATTTGCGAGATCGTGGGTTGCGGGATAGGGAGCGACGTGAGCGCGAGCTGCGAGAGCACGGCATTGATCGGGGCCCGCGGGACAATGACTTACGTGACCGTGACCGGTGTCGCAGCGAGGAATGGTGGGCTGGTGCTGCCGGCAGCGGGGGTGCCTACGGGGCCATCTATGGTGCGCCGGTGCCCCGTGGCGGCTCGGGCTCCAGAGAGACAGCGGACTGGCGGCGTGGAGCCCCCACCCCGCCATCGCTGAGCCGTGATGCCGGGCCCCGGGGCGGCCGGGATGTGACACCGCTTGCTGCTGACATGGTGCGCTATGGAGGCTCTACAGATGATGCGGGTCGCCGGTCTCCGCGGGGCCGGTCTCCGCGTGAGGACCCGCGCGGACCGGCGACTTGGAACGCGGCGCCTGCTGGCCACTGTCCTGATGAGGCAGGGCAGCAAGCGAGTGGGCCAGTTGGCGAGTGGGGTGAGGGCACGGGCGTGCCAGCTGCGGCTGCGGCGCCACGGACCCGGGCGCCTTTGTTTGTTGGGAGCGTGCGGCCAGCTGGGGACGCAGGACGGGTGCCGCCTCCTAGCAGCCGCCAGCAGCGACGCACATCACCAGAGCCGCAGGAAGCACAGCAGCAACCATTGCCGCAGCCGCCGCTGCAACAGCAACCGCTGTCTTCACCTGTGCTTCTGGAAATGCCGCTGCCGCCGCAGCAGCAGTACCCGCCTGGTTCTGACAGCGTGCGCAATACGGACAGTGATGAAGTCGGTGAGGGCCCTTGCCGAGAGGAGGCCCGCCACCTGACAGCCAGATCCTGCGACATGCGCGCCACTAGTTGCAGCAGCGATGGCACTAACAGCAGCCCATCTAAGCAGGATGAAGAATCTAAAGGCGCTGGCAGGGAACGTGGTGTAGGAGCCAGCGGAAGGAGTTACACGGACAAGGCCGGCGCCGACGGTGGCGAGGGTTGCAGCGCTGGCGGGGATGTTGGCCGTGGCGATGACAGCAACGGCAGTAGAGGCCAAGACGCGCCGGTAGACATGGCGGTGGATGAACTATCGACGGACGTTAGGCCGCTCACAGAGGCTGCTGCGACAAGCAATGCTGCTGGTCGCAGCCCCACACCTGCGCCGAGTCCGCTCGCCGTGTCTGCATCCCCTCACCACACGCCGCCATCGTCACGGCCTGGGCGGGTTGCGGATCGAGATGGCAGCGCGGCGCCGCCACCGTCTGACGACGGACCTTCCTCCAGACGGGAGGAACGCTCGCCAATGCCGCAGCGCGATACCGACGGCGCGGCAGCTGTCGTACATGCTGGCTGTTTCGACAATGCCATGGAAGTAGACACGGCTGCGGCGCGCCCTGAAGGCAGGGAAGGCAGGAGCGGCGGCGCACCCCTCGCCACCGCCATTGAGGGCAGCACCGGGAGAGGCTCTGCAGGACGAGGCGGGACCGCCGCTGGCAGGGTCGACACACTGCGGGACTCGGGTGCAGGGCCGGATGCGAACAGGCACCGTGGGGATGAAGCTCAGCAGCGATATGGCGAGGAGGGCAGGGATGGACGGGCTGGTCAACCTTACAAGTCGCAGGAACGACCAGCATCGCAACCGTTGGCTTCGGGAAAGATCGACCGAGGTGGGAGTGGCGGCCCGCGCCCGCAGCAGCCCTACCAGGATTCCAATACACAGCGCGGTGGGTTGGGACGGCGGGAGGTGTACGATGATGACAGGCGAGCCAGGCAGCTGCCGCCGCCGCCGGGCGACGGCCGCCATGACATGGGCGGCGGGGGCGACGTTTATGGGGAACGCCGGCCTCAGCTACTGCAACCATACGGTTCCGGAGGAGAGCCGCGCCGTGATGACTACGACGACCGCAGACGGCCAGCGCCGTCGTATATCCTGCCTCCGTCCTCGCTTGACAGCGGCCGTCGCGACCCGTATGATGACGGCCGGCTGCCGCCGCGACGCGACGATTACGATGACCGCCGCCCGCCGCCGCGACGTAGGGACGATCCGTACGACGACTGGCGATCGCATGGGCCGCGGCCAACGTCACAGCGCCGTGACGAGTACGACGATCGCTCAAGGCAACCCAGTGGGACCCGCGGCCCTGGCCGCGACAGCTACCCTGACCGCAGGCCACCACCGCCACCCTCAGCGCATGGACCGTCATCCTCGGCTGCTGCCGGTACTGCTTCCGCCGGCCCTGTTGGCCCCTCCCGAGGAGATCCGTACGACGTTCGCCCTTCGCAGCCGCCGCCGTCGGGACGTGGCAGTGAGGGGTACCGGGAGCGCGAGTGGGCTGACCGTGGCGGTGGCGGCGGCGGCGGCGCTGCCGTCGCCCCCAGGGGTTATGGCCGTGATGGCGGCCCTGGCCCTCGACGTGAGGGCTCGCGCGGCGACCGCGGCGGCTGGGGGCGAGAGCGAGACGTGGACCGAGAACGGGACTACCATCTGCGGGAGCGGGAACGGGGCATGCAGGTACCGTCGTCGTCGACACAACGTCGACCTGCAGATGGGCCCCCTGGCTCCTACCGGGACGGCGGCGGCGGTGGAGGCGCCGACAGGTGGGGCAGGTGCCGCTGTGGTGCTGCACATTCGCTCCTTTCCTCTCCTCCCAACCTTCCTCCGTGCTCACTAAGTGCTGAAGTGTCTGGTGTGGGTCAGCTCTTGTCCAATCGTTGCGCGGGTGAGCTTTGCAACAGCGGCAGCCACATCAGCTTGCTTGTCAGCAGCCACCCCGCCCTCGCTCCGGTTTAGCCCGGTTAGGGTTTAGCCCGGTTCTCCGCCACGTGTGAATTTCGAGAGCGATTCCCACCCCTCCCCGCCCTGAACCTGTCCCGTAAAGCCACCCCGACAACCCTGAACCACCGCCGCCTCCGCCCTCGCCCCCGGCCCCCACCCCCGGCCCCCACCCACGCCACCGCCATCCCGTTTCATTTAGCCCCCGCCATGCTTTCCTGGAATTCCCGGCCACCACCGCTCCACATCCCCTTCTCACGTTGCCTCCGCTCCACCTCTCCCCCTCGCCCACCACCCCTCGCCCACCACCATCCGTCCCTGCTTTCCTAGGCAGTCATCCTTCTCCGCCCTACCTCCCCTTTCTCCTCCCCACCCCTCTCCTCCCTCGCCTCACCGTCACCCTCTTTTCCACCGCGCCACAGCTACGTCATCCTCCCTCCTCCCAAGCAATCAGCTACCTACCTATCCCCTCCACCGCCACTCCCAAACCCCACACCTCCGCCACGCATCCCCCACCCCTTCCGCTTCCCCTCCTTCAACCTCACATCAGCCAGCCACCATCTCCCACCAGGCGGCACCTCCTGAGAGTCTCCTGCTGCCGCGCCCGTTGCTGCTGCTGCTGCTGCTGCTGCTGCTTGCTACTCTGAAATGCGCCCACTACCACCTAATGCCGATTGACATGAAAGGAGATAGCCGTGACGCCGAGGAAGAGGGGATGCCTCTGCTTCTGCGCGCTAGTTTCAGGGCCGCGCGTTTGCGACACGTTAATGCTACTTGGCTGTGTTACTGTCTTTCTTTGTCGCCATGGATACTCGGCCGGCTGACCTGAGGGGATCTTGGGGGTGCAGATGGGAGGTGGAGCTCCCCACATGAGGGAATCCATCCTTCACCTTTAATGTACACCCGGGCCATATCTACGGTCCGGCGGGGATCTGTTCTCTATTCACCTTGTCCTCGTCGTTCTGTTTGCATGTGAGGTGCTGAGCTTCCGCTGAGCTCATCCTGAGGTTGGCCATGGACACAGCGGCGTTTGTGCACTGACACTGACTTTAACTTGTTCTTTTGCTTGCTGCGATGCACAGGCGCCCAGGCTCGCCCCTGCCACCTCCGAAGCGGCTGCGCACCTCTCCACCGCGGGGACCAGGAGGCGGTGCAGGAGGTGGCGGCAGTGACTACCCGCAGCCCTTTGAGCGGCCCTACACGCAGCCACACCACCACCACCACCACCACCCAGCACAGCGGCCGCCACCCGCAGGGGCCCCAGGAGGAGCGGCAGCAGGCGGAGTGGAGGGGGCGGCGCTTAGCAGTGCAGACATTGGTAAGAGTGCTATAACATCCTGCGGATGCGGGGTGAGGAGTGAGTCAACGAGCAGGGCTCCGTTTGGCTAGAAGCTGCTTTGGAGTCCGTTAATTCTGCACCATCCTTGACCTCTCCTGCGTGCCCTCCCTCTTGGCACCTGCACGCCCCTATTCTCTAAGCCCGTTGAACCCCCCTTCCCTCTCGCCACCACCACCCAGTCCGCGCCATGATGGCTGCACCCCCGGGAGGTCCGGTCCCGAACAGGGCCGCAACGAGTGCTGGCGGGGGCGGAGCCGGAGGCGCCCATCACGCAGCGCCAGGATCCATGGCTGGATCTGGATCTTGGACCGTATCGGGATCTGGATCCGCGGCAGCGCCTGCCGCTGCCGCAGCCGCTATGCACCCGCCTCAACTGACCGCGGACCAGAAGCGCAAGCTGCTCTGGGGGACCAAGAAGGTGGAGACCGTTGTTAACCAGGTACGGCAGTAAGACGGCATTGCAGGAACGCTTGCTATGGGGATGGCTCAATGACACGGCATGCCCCGACGGCACGTGCGGTGTTGATTCCCGTGGTGAGGGCTTGTATGTGTTAACAGCCCTAGCATACATACTACCGATTACAGATACTAGGTTAGGCACTACTGGTAACGCGCCACCATTGCTAACGTGAGATCCCGGGATCGAGACCTCTTAGGGTCGAAAATCCTTCTGATGGTGGAAGGTATTGCGCCCCTAGTTGATGGACGGTAGTGACCTGGGATAGAGTTAACCTGCGAACCGACCAGGAATGGAGTTTGGCCCCCGTCGACCCGGCAGATTCCGTTGCATGCTGGTGGTGGGTGCGGAACCTGAGCGATCCACTGAAAAGTGGACTAGGATGATTGATTGAGGGGTGCCCCGAAATACCGGGGAAGGCAGGGTTTCGCAGGGTAGCTGCCACGGGTGAAGATATACCCCCCTGTTTCACACATCATACCGGCATAGACCTACTAGCTATGCTGCCCTGTAAGCACCAGCAGCACCACCGCCACCATCTCTCCCATCCCCACTTCGCCGTGTTCCCCCCACGTCCGTCCTGGAAACCATGACGTCCTAACCACCGCAGTTGTGTGCCAACCTAGACTCACTTGGTCCTGGCCGCTTGACCTCGTAGGGCGCCGCCGAATCCCTGTACGGAGCGAACCGCTGGGACCGTGCGGCCGAGGTGGGTGTGGGTTGAGGGGGGGAGGGGGAGCAGGTGTCGGTGCGCACCACTATCCCCAGATGGCCGCGCGGTGCACTGCTTGGCTGGTAAGATTCCAATGGGAGGCCGACGGGTTTGCCCTGTCCAACCAGCTTTGCCTTCTTGTTTTCCTCACCCACGCAGTATGGAAGCGGGAGTGCGTAAAGGGGGCTTCTCTCCATGGCTCAGTTTTTTAATACAAGCACACGTCGAATCATCTTTTCATCATCTTGTCATGTTGCTTACCGTGTCGTGCGGCTACAGGTTCTGGAGACTGACCGGGACAAGGAGAGGTTCCAGCGGCTGATGGTGGGTGTGAAATGAGTGGTCGTGGGATGGGGAAGAAGTTGTGCGGGCAAGACTCAAAGCTGCGACTTCCCTCGCTCCTGTGTATGGAGCGCCAAGGCACGACGGCACGGCGCCTCCACCATTGAACGCCTATGTACCTTTTTCGCCTCAGCCGGTAGCCCTCACCCTCCGCCTCCTCGGCGCTCCCCACCCGTTGGCATTTGGGTAGCTTCTGGGCTCGCTCTTTGCCCGCTCCTGAACCGGTGTCCGGCACTTCGCCAACCACCCATTTCCGAGGCCTCGGTCCTGCTCGTGTCCAGGGTTGGCCAGCCCCTTCTACCTGTCTTGTCGTCCCTCGCTTCCTTATGCTCGATTCGTCTCCTGTTCATTCCCTACCCACCAAAATATGTGCTCTTCACTTTTCCCGATTCCTAACCCGTCGTCCAACCTGCCATGCACCTCATCCTTGTTACCCCATCCTCCCGCAGGGGCTTAAGGGGGAGCTGGCGCACCGGCCTGCCTACCCCCCGCTCGAGGCTCGTCCGCCCTCACCCGGGTCGGAGTCGCACCTGGCCATGACACGTAAGAGTGGGCTGCGTTTTCCCAATTGGGACTACCGCTGCGTCTGCCGCTATCAACTGGCCCAACCCTGCAAATCCCTTTCGCACCCCGTGTTGCCCTAGCTGCCCCTTGAGTGATTACCGCAGCTACCTGTTGCGCAAATTGGCTGATCTGCTGCTGGGCCCATCATCCTCGCCTAATCGCGTCATCAGACGTACCCACGGGCACATGTTCGCGTTCGGGCCTTCAGGGTCCGCTTGTGTTTCCCTGTCCTGAACCTGGCCTTCCTTCCTCCGAACAAGGTGGTGCTGCACTGTAACGTAGTTCCCCAAGTGCCTCACCAAACCCCCGGACCCTGTTCGCGCAGGCGAGCAGCAGGAGCGGGTGCTGGGGGATGTGGAGCAGCAGTACCTGGCGGGGCTGAAGCGCAAGGACGGCCGCACTGCGGGGCTGGGCATCATGTAGGGGGGGGAGATAGAGGGGCAGAAAGGAGGACGTCGGAGGCAGGCGGGGCCTGCGGTTAAGGCCAGGGGGAGGAGGAGGGCGGGGATTGGAAGGGCCTGGGGCTGTCCATGGCAACCCAGCATGATGCTACGGGATGAGAAGTGGGTTTTCGGGATGATGGCGAGGCCGGGTAAGCCGAGCGAATGGCTTGGTCCCTGTTCGTACTCTTGCCAAATTCGCTTGTTTCTCTGCTGGCGGGGATACCATTGCTTCCAAAGTAGCTGTCGCCCCCTGGGAAGGGGAGGGGGAGTGAGCCGCGACCGTATGGGACAGGCCGCCGTGTCAGTGAGAAGGGGGGGGAGCATGGGAGAAATTCTTTTGTAGAAGAAGAATGGCCAGGCCAGCGGGCATTTGGTTGCCGTGGGGATTAGAACTGGCGAGCAAACCTGCACCCCGCAGAAAGTACGAGCGGTGGCCAACGGCCAATGGCAGTAGGAATGTTCGTGACGTTACGGCGCGATCTCATGGCGTTCGACGCTTGGGGGATTGGTTGCGGCGGAAGAAAGCACACGCACCCATGTCAGCTAGCCATATGGGATTAAACCATCGGTGTCTGCAGTTGATTATGGTCTGCAGGTCCCGGGGAGTTGGCGGTAGTGGTCCGGGTGTATTGGAGCATTACGCTGCACGGGTGCATGAGAAGGTGCATGAGGCAGAGGAATGGCAGATAGCCCGCCATTCCTCCCGGTGTATACAGACAACAATGTTGCGAATTCCGGCGGGAAATATGTCAGGGAGCTGTTAGGAAGTTTTGAAGCAGAAGTGGGGGTGAGGAGGAGGAAGGAGGACGTCCATTTGTTGGATTGCCGGGGGAGGAAGCCAGGTACGGCAGGTCAGCTTAACAACGACAGCTTATTGTGATTCTCTGTCTTCCTTCTGTTCTGAGTCATTTCAGGTGGCACAGTTATGAAAAGGCCGTGCGTCTCTTCCCGTATATGTGTTTGTTTCCCATGCACAAAAGGTATGTAGGGGTGTTACCACGGATGTGTGTCTTCCGATGTCAACCGGCTTGGCAAGGTGCGGTTGCTTCATGATGCGGTTGGCTGGATGAAATGTGGAGGGCTTGAGTACCCATCATGCTTTGTCGCGGCCATTTAGTCTGAGCTATAGCTTTGGGATGGATGCCCCCCTTACCAACTTTTCCATGAACGCCAGCCGTCGCGGTATTCAGATTTTTCTAATTTTTCCCCGGTTGGTGAACTGGCGCCTTATCGGGCAATGTGGCGGCAATGTGGCAGGTTCCTTGCCACACGCTATTTTTCCAGCTGTCCATGGCAAGCGCGGCTGTACACGTTATACAAGTTCCGCACAAGTGCGGGGGTGTCCGTAAAAGCCGGGGGGGCCATGGACGGTAAATCGTTTTTAGTGCGGTTACGCGGTGGACCATCATCGTCCTCCCTCGTCCGCTTGAGCATGAAGTGCCGGGTCTCCCAGACTTCCGAGAGGAACCTGGCTAGCGCCAGGGGTGGGGCCTCGGTCATAATCGTGCGCATGTTGCGCCCTTGAAACGCGAGGTCACGTCCGTACGCCGGGCATTCCACAAAAACATGCATTTTGTCTTCAACCGCCCCGCAATCACAAAGCCTGCAGGTGTGCGCTGTGCGCTCGCGGCCGGTAGGTCGGTTAATGATTGTGTTCCTCACAGTTGGGAGGCAATAATTATAATAGCTGCGATCAGGCACACTTCGCCTCCATTACTAAGTACTGCGTCCAGTACATACGTCCAGCCTTCGCCACGGAGGTTGGTCCTGCCATCCTAGGACATTGAAATTGGGGCCATTCGTTCACCCACAAATTCGGGCAGATAGACCATTCGGCCAATGCCACCAAACGAACGCACGAATCCATCAACTGTGACAGCTATGAATTCACGCGCCAAAGGTCGTGGCGGTTTGTACTCCGGACTCTGTGCGGGATGTCAACAGAGCAGACGTTCAGAGGCGTATATATGCGAATTCCCAAACTCGTTTTCTTCTCTTAGCCTCATCCGCGATTTCACAATATGAGCGTAGGGAACTTGGGAACCGTAAGCGCCACTGTCTGACTCACCCGCTGTCGTTCTTTTGTGTTCACGGCCTGGCGTCAACGTTCTCGCCAAAGCGTATTCGCCAGCAGTAGACAGATCCTTTTAATTCATCCGAAATATACAACAACGGCCGTATTTCAATCTGCCGAGGAGAATCTGCTCAGCCTTCAAACACGGAAATAATCGAAGTGAAGCAATCCTTTGCGCCCCCGAGATGTTACAACACTCAGCAGCTAAAACTGCCCATCGAGGCGACAGGGAAGACCAGCTTCAACCCGCCTACATAAGCATGATTCATTAACTGCCGCCACAGCAACTACGGTCGGCCCACGGGCGATGCCGGCAGTCCTGAAGTACATCCTCATCCGCACGTAACCCGCCTGCAACACGCCTGGCTGGTCACAATGCACCGCTGCCGCGCATCATGAACCGTGGCGGTTTTCACAAGGTCACAGTTCGGCCGGGGAAACGCCGCCAATCCACACCCGTACACCACAGACATCAAGATCCAGCGCAGTCTATGTGTGCGTGTAGAGCTAGCGGTATATTCCATACCCCTATACGACAGCGGATGAAACGATACGTGGGCCTCCATCATGCACGTGGGCCACCACGGGGCAAATTCCTGCCTTCCCCGTGCGGAAGGTGGGCACTCACTCGGTGGGACACCGCCCTCGTGCTGCTGCGCATCACAAAGCTGTACGGAGGGCGACGCATTGCACCACACCATCTCGAGGGGCTAAACTCACACATCGCCGGATAGGACACTGAAAACAAAACCAGCTAATGGCCCCACTTTGCCCCGTCCCAGCCCGCGCAGCTTCTGCAGTCCTTCTCAGGCTGGAGGAGTGGGGCAGCGTCCCAAGAGATTTCGAAGCGCACAAGTCCCTCCGCTTCAATCCAGACCACACACGTACCACAACAGCCACTACATTGGCCCGCAAGACTTGCGCGTGCATCTCCCTCTCCCTCCATCCCCCAGAAGATCCAAATCTTGATGAAGTGGACTCCACGTGCTTCGCCGCTTTGGCGCAAAACCCAATACCCCTTTTAAGACCCTCCCCCCCCCACCTCCTCCAATCAACGTCAGCTTCCAGACATGGCGCCTTCCTTCCTTGTGGCAGCAGCAGCGGCGCCGGTAGCGGCACCATGACCACTGAGGAAAGACAGGCCCCTCGAAAGCGGCAAAGCATGTCCTCCCAATGAAACAGGTAAAGTGCATAGATAGGTGCTCCCGCTCACGAGTCCGCGGTGGCGGGGGCAGCCGGCGTGGCGCCCGCTGCCTTGTCCTGAGGGCGAGGAGGTCCGGAAAGCAGCAAGTCACGCACAATGGATGAGGAGCACAGACCGTTCCCTCTGTCCCTGTCCGTGTTCATTTTCCATCATTATTACCGACCCGCCGAAACCGAACGAACCTGTTGCCGTATCTACCATCAAGCCGCCCCTACCTCCCCCCCAAAGCCAACCAAGGCCAAAAACCCTCGCCTTTCAACTCGCCTTGTTCTTCTTCTTCTTTGCGCTCTTGGCGCTGACCGGCGTGGCCAACAGGTCGAGAATCTCCTTGTCCTCCACCTTCTTCTCACTGTTCACTGGCTGCCGCGACGCCGACGTCACGATGCTAGAGCCGTTAGGCATTAGCAACACCGTGCCCTTAATCTGCGCCACCAGCTCGCCACCCTTCTCGTGTAGCACCGGGTAAGGGTGCAGCAGGCCGTGGTTTAGGCACTCCACGAGACCCAGCTTGAGCTGCCCCACCTTGAGCTCCGTCTTCTGGTTGGCAGCCTCATCCAGCAGGGCGCGCAGCGTGAAAGGCATCGTGGCGAAGCTCGAGTTAATGAGGGAGAAAACGATGCGGCTAGCCTGCATCTTGAGCTGGTAGGCCACTTCAAGTGCGCGCTTGTACACAGTGGTCTCCTTCTCATCAAGCACCTGTTTGCACAGAATGGGGAGAATGCGGCGGGAAGAGGGGCTTCAGGGGCCATGATAGCGAGGGCAGGTGGCTGAAGAAGATGTACGTTTGCTTGCATGTCGCACCCATCCCTAGCTGGGCAGGGGACAGTTGCGACTGAGGCGACCCAGGCAGGCAGACAGACTGAAGGGCGACCAACGATGGCGACATTCCACGTCCGCCCCGTCCCGTCCGCAGACGACTTCAGAAAGCCAGTGACGAGCGCAGTGGCAGGGACGGGAGGGAGGGACACACCCTCGCAACTCCAGTAGCCGTCTCCCGCCGTGCCCCAAATCCCAGTCAACCGCACCAAATAACGACGCAACCGCCATCACCAAACCAAATCCACCGATTCGTAGGTTTTGAGCAGCTACACAACAAAATGCCGATATTATATCGTTCACAACGATGGGCTCCCTGGCAGAACATTCAAAAAAGTAGTTTTAGTAGAGACCAAGTGGTTGCTGAGAAAAAAACATTCCCTTCCGGAAGGTGGTTACTAGGATTTGCTTGGAGTCACCTGCAAGTAACCAGGTGTTCCCCAGGGAATTGGGCCACAGACCCCCGTATTTTGGGAAGGTGGTTACCGAGGAAAACCCCCGCAGTAAACACTTGGACACTAAAGGATTACCATCGGAAAAAAGATTTAACATCACTGCTCCTTGGTATCGGAATCTGAGCACCCGTCTAGGTATTCCTTAGCCACAGAGACGTCTGATGCAGCAGCGGCCGGGGTAAAGCAACTAGTCGTGCGCGATCAGGCGTGCGGCAGCAACCCCCCTTCCCCTTCACCCCCCGGGAGACAGTCCTACTTTGTCCCCAATCGACTACCAAGCTAGTAGCACAACCCTCAGTGTGCCTATGCAGATAAATTGATTGTCCTTCTGGCCCTTGAACCGGATAAACCACCCCGGAAAGAGTCGCAAAACGAACAACTGCCGAGCGGCCTTTTGAACAAAGGCTGCACAAGGCCTACACGACTATCGCCAGCCCGCCGCCTTCCAGGCACCCCAGCGGGCAGACCGATATACCGATCGACTCACCCGTGGCTTGCCCTCGCCTGTGCTCACGACGATATCGATCGCGTACACCTCATTCTCCTCAAACTCCGCATCCTCCACCTTCTGATCTGGAGTGGGCTTGTTCAGGATACACTTGCTGCCGTCAATCACAAACTGCTTCATCTCGTGAGACATGACGCCTTCGACCATGTTGCAGCCGTACGCCTCCGCGATCTTTTGCAGCGGCCCCGCCACGTCCGAAATGTGCTTGCCCGGACGTATCAAGCGCACCGCTGCATCGAATGCCGTACGTGCGGCGGCGATGACGTCAGCAGCGCGACCTGTGATAGGCACCTCGCCCGCCTGGACGACCACCGTGGTGGCCTGGGTGGCGATGAAGCCGTCGATGTGGCAGCCCATGTCACTGCACAGGCGGGGCAATGGGGGGCCGCGCCAAATTGGTGAGCGCCCAGGACCACTATGACCACTATGTCGCAGCCCAGGAACATCGCGCGGTGAAACCCGTGTGACTCACGGTGGTCACATTGTTTGTTTGTGGGGGGCCACCGTGGGGACAACACACAGAACCTGCATGTGGTGTTAGGAGTGAACCCCCGGAGTGTCCAGACACCGACTTACAATTTGACTACATCTCCTGCTTTAAGGGCACTCGTGTCATCCGCGTTCGGGGAGAAGTGGCCCACGACGCTGCGCAAGGAGGGTTGCAGGCGTTTAGTCCACAGTGAACTAGCTTCCGGAAAACCGGTAGCAGTGAGGCCCAGACAGTGTCGCCAACTCTTTGATCCGGCATCTGCTTTCGGTATTATGAAGTAAGACTGTCCCATGCGCATTTCCTAAAGCTCCTCCGTGAGGTCGGGCTGAGCGTACCTGTTGACGGAGACGCACGTCGGGAAAGCGACACCCTTCTCAATTTGCTTTCCCTTGTAGATGTTGCCACACTCCCTGGATTTTTCAGGCAATTCGTCAGCTGCTACACTGATATGCGTGACAACTTTATACATGACAGCGGCCCCTACTTGGTAATAAAATTATCGCCAGTGCGGCATAGATCCACAATTTTGGAACCGTCCTTGCACCCATCGATGACAGCCTGAAGGGCACCTGCTTGCGCAACACAAGGTGTGAGGACGTTCGCCGGCACCTGAGCGCCGACAATTCACTACTCACGGTTGCAGATGTCCGCCGCCGCCTTGTACTTGGTCACAACCTCGGGCTGCATACGGTCGCATAGTTACAGAACTTAATGACAATCTAAGCTGGGAAAGTATGGGCATCAAGTTTCGTTCATGAGGATTGCGCACCACGCTCAGGTTGGGCTCCTGCTCGCCCTGAATAGAGCCGTCGTCAGACATGTTTGTATCTTTACTCAACAAGTGTAAACCAAGTAGCGGAAAGAGGGCCGAGAACGGTCTGAGCCGGTTCTATGAGTTGATCTGATGGGCCCTTTGGGCTAGTAAGGCAAAAAATCATAGGATTTCTCCATGCACGGGCCCTTCTTCGATACACAACTATTACGACAAATTACTTTATGTAGACGTGGATATAATCTCTGCTGCGGAGTAAGCGGGCACCAAGCACCAACTTGCAGTAGCCGAAAAAGTAAATCGGAAGTATTTCGCACCTGCGACATTGACCCTCGCAGCTATACGGATAGTCAACTTCACCAAATTGCTGAGGGCAGCATGCCTTCTATACGTTGCCCCCTGGTGGATAGGCACGGTAAGGTTGCTAAGCTAGCTCCGCACATTTTCAAGGCATGCTGATATTGCGGGTGAGGGTTAGCTTTGCATGTCATGGCCTTGCTGGCAACCCGTCGGACTAGGAGGTCAGGCTACAGCCGCCAGGTAGCGGGGCAGGGCGGCACCCCTGGCTCGCACTGCTTTCTTGCCCCAAAACATGGGCTTGCCTATCGGGTCCCTCCAGGGCCTGATCCGTTGCAATTTTTGACTTGGGGTTGGAACAACGGCTTGCCCTCTTTAGATCAAGTCAGCACCTGTTTACAATGCAACAGAGTCGTCAGTACGTCATGACGCCCGCAAACAGGAATCATGGGTTTGACAACTGTTGCCTGTGCCCGCCACTCAAACATTTTTGTGTCTACGGTTCTGGGCTTCTACGTATGGCCTGAGCAGTGCAGCTTGTTGCGTCGAGTGGCGTATACCGTACCCCAGTGGGCTGCGACGTCATTGCCTTGGTTATGCAGACGCTCTTAATCTCTTACGGAAACTAAAGCTTTACGGCGTATAGTCGCTCGCTCGGTTGCTTCCTCCCGTGCTCCGGGCTCTGTGGCTCCGTGTAATCGTATTGTACGGTCCCGGTCGCATTGGCGGTTGAGACCGTTAGCCATAGCTAACTATCTCTCTAGCATTTCCACGTCTACAATCTGGACTTGCATTCCCCTTTCATCAACAGTTTCTGAACGTCACGATAGCGCTATGTCAAATCTAAGCGGTGTCTCTTCTGGCAAAGGCTTCTATTTGCCCATGCCCGTGACAGAGCTTTATATTGCCCTTGGCATGGTGTTTCTTTTTCTGCCAGTAGTAGTCATTTTCACTCGGGCACTGGGCTGGCGCGAACCACCTGTTCGCGTTGAGAAGCGGGATTAAGTCACGCGCGCTTTTTACAAAATTGCGTTGCCAAGCCGCACATGTGTTGGGGCAAGGAGTATGAAACGCCAAGTAGCATGCTTTTGGCATCTAGCAGAGTTTTTAGCCACACCGGGGGCAGCTACTATTTGGGATGCCACATCCACGGTGGCGGGTAGCACCACAGGCAAAGCAGCCAGATTGAATTTTTGTAGGCTCGCATTCAGGCCCATTACGTCACATTTGCTGCATGACGCTGGTGGTTGGAATCGACGCCCGGTTGCGTCCACCCTGCAGCCGACCCTTAAAGGTGCTACGGGACTTGCATTCTGCGGAAATAGCATCAGTGTGTTTTTGCCACGCTGGCAGGCATACCAATCAGAACTCGCAGGCAACGATGGGACCGGCAGCCACAACGGCAACCCGGCCAGCCCTGGCGCACTTGCCTCGCTTCGCTACGTTCCCAAGAACTCTACAACGTCGCTCTGCCCGACGGCCTGCGCATCGGTATCATTTCTGCAGTTCCGCGGGGTGCATCATCAGCGGCAACACCGGGATCAGCAGGACAAGCTAAGGTCGAAAGTCGAGCACCAGTCGCTCCAGTTCCTGTCCAATAACGCGGTTGACCGAAACAGCGGCAAGTCCTCGCCTGCAGCCGACGCGGTGTACAACCTCCCTAACGCTGTGTCCGCAGCGCGCCTACTGTCGGGACCCGTCATCGGTTACTGGCTACTGCAGGGGCACACTGAAGCGGCCGCCGTCGCCCTTGCGATTTCGGGGGTGAGACTACCCACAGCAACGCTACTTCCCCTGCCAGCACCATAGCGCCAGTTCCCTGGCCCCGCCTGTGTTCCGATTACCAATCGATCGCCAACGGCTTTCTACCTTCCCATCCCTGTCCCTTGCTTCTATCTCCTCAGGCCAGTGACTGGTTAGATGGCTATCTGGCTCGTCGCATGGGCGCCTCCTCCGTCTTCGGGTCGTACCTGGACCCTCTGGCGGATAAGGTAAGAGAAATAATAGAATGTATGCCGGTGCGTTAGCCGTGCGCCTGCACCACGGGCAGCTGAGAAATTAAGCTGTGCGCAGCCGCATTTTTGTTCGATTCACGCACTCATTGGATTCGGTTTAGTGGAAAAGTCGAGTGAACAAATTCGTTAAGAGCGCTTTGGGGAACCGAAGGGTAGTACCTTGTCATCCCCCCCATAAATTACATTGTCGTTATAAGCAGTACGATATTAGGGTGTCAGGCTATATGAGGGCCCTGCAATGTGCATGGGATTAATCTGCTCTGCACCTGCCTCTCTGCGCTTGGCATTTCTCTGGCGTCCCGCCGGCGAGTCAACCCTAAGCTGACAGACTCACCGGACACTCGGTTAACCCACCATCCAGCAGCAGCCGTCTGTCCTGTCCCATACTATCCGCATGTGTCTGCAGGTGCTCATCGGGTGTGTGGCGGGCGCTCTGCTGGCGAATGGTGCCATGCCGGCCTGGTTAGCCGTCGTGGTGGTGGGCCGTGACGTGCTGCTCGTGTCAGGCGCGTTCACGTTCCGCCTACGTGGGTTTGGCTGGCGGTGGCCCGGCAGGGAGGCATTCTTCCGGACCAAGGATGCCATATCCACAGCGGCCGAGGCTGGTGTACCAGCATCGGCATCGGCAAGTACCGATGCAGGTGGTGGCGACTGTAGCACGCGTGGTCGTGAGAGTGTTGGCTTCATGCGGCCTCTGCTGATCAGCAAGGCTAACACGGTGCTGCAGCTGATGCTCCTAGGGGCGTACTTGACAAGGGGGACGTACGGCTGGCCGGAGGGCGACCCGGTGCTGGCATTGGAGCTGGCTACCGCTGCAACTACGATTCTATCGTTGACGGCCTACGGCAGCATGGCGCTCCAGGGAAAGCTGTTCAAGTAGAGCTATTGTTGTTAATGTTTTTATTGACTGGAAGAGTGTCACTGCTCGCACATTTTGCGTAAGGTTTTAACTTCTGCAAGTGTGTAAGGCTGTCTCAGTTTGCACTGCATGCGTAAGCCCCAAAACATTGAGCTCTATGACAACATGGCAACATTCTCGCAATTATGTAAGTCTCAAGCGGGTGCCCAACCGCGTCCGGTCCACATGCCGCCTCCACTCCGGGAATCCAGACTGTGGACAACGGCGGGAACTTGCCGTTTCTTGACAAGTGTCCTATTTTCTTCTACTCGACTGCGCCTACACGCCTATTATCTGAGGAGAGACCGCAACCGTCGCCGGAATTCCCAAACCGCACGGAAATTCATGGTATCTTTTATCAAAATTATGGCAGGCTGAATTAACACAACGAACTCAGGGGAGGCCAACCCACCAGCGACAGGCCACCTCGCGGTTGGTAAGCACGGCAAGCCAATTAGCGACATCGCCATCCTCCGGAGTAAACAATCCTCTCAAAAGCTGGAGAAAACCAAAACCCACGAGACGGTTATTATGGTATGCCTCCGATGCACCCGGTGGAAAAAGCCGCACCAGGAAAGGAAGGCGCAGCAACATAATGCAACCTTTGGCAATAGAAGATGCATGCAGACAAAAGCATGCGTTGCGCTTATAGTTGCGTGCATCAGGACAAAACGTTTTTTATAAGCGAAAACAGTGTACACAGCGCAGCATTAGTATAGGAGTTATTGAGCGTGATGCAGGCCTATTTCCGCCTCTACACACAAATTCTACTACCAGCCACATCCAGAGCGCCATCAGAGAGTAGCAGGAGTTGGACGTCCTAAAGCTCCTCCCAGTCAGCGGCGGCACGGCGGGCGTTTCGCTTGGCCCTGCGGCCCTGGCCTTTCATGACCTGAGGTGGGCAAGGCGAGGCCGCGATGGATGGTCCTGCACCGCTCCCACCGGCGCCAGCTTGGCTGCTGCTGGGGCCCTCTCCAGCATCGTCGATGCCGCTGCCGCGGGGTCCCAATTTGCCACCCGCCGCCCTGCCCTTTCCTGGCTTGCCAATGCCACCACTTGCGCTCCCGCTGGCCTGGCTTGTGTTGCCATTAGTTGTAGGGCGCGCGTACATGCGACCCGCACGCATGTAGCCATTCTCGCCAAGCCGGCGGTTGCCCAATACCACACGAGCGCGACCTGGAAGGGCAGCAGTGACATCGTGGCAGCAGCGGCGAGGTGACGTCGTTGCATGTCATCCAAATGCATAAATTAAAGGTAACGCAGTCGCCTGGGTTACCTGCAGCGCTCGAAAAGTAGTATTTCTCAATTTGCTCGTCTTCATCGTACTCATCTTCCTCGTCATCGTAGTACTGGTACGGGTCCGCCCATTCTGCAGGAATTTCCTCTTCTGCCATGGACCCCGAGATGGCCTTGCCCTTCTCCATGGTCTGCAAGTGCGGGACGGGCAGGGCGGCTTCCTCATTTACGTGAAAACCAGGCGGCGGCATCCTAGCACTGCACGAGTCCCGCTACTAATGGCAAATATGGTTAAGCTGCCGTCCCGATATCGTCAACACTTCAATCATTTCCCACCTTGACGTACTCCACGAACCATGAGGCTCGCTTCATCAGGCATACGCTTTCCTCGACAGGCATGTCGCTCAGGGTGCCATCAAGCAGGCGATGGCAGTACAGGTAGTTAAAGGGCTTCTTGCACTGAGGACACCATGGCGCCTCCTTACAAGTGGCCCATTGCAGGATGCAATTCACTGCAAAACAATAACAAAATCATGGGGCCGTCGTTATGGGGCTGGGGAAAGCCCCTGGGCAACCTGGTGAAAAACCCCACGACCTGAGATTAAGTTAACACGAATCGGGTAGGACTCACCACAGTATTCGTGTTCGCATCCCTTGATAATTGCAAGGTCTTCGAGCTCTATGGTGTTCAAGCATATAGCGCAAACTTCGCTGATGTCGACTTTACTTCCTTTGTTGGCGCTGGCGTTTGCCGACGTCTTATCCAGTGCAGTATCTTCAAAGCCTTCTGTGTCACAATATTCCCCCTATACAAACACGAGTAACGCATAAGAGGCAACGTGATAGCCAGCAGCGGCGTTGGTGCCACGTCCATCACATCGTGCGCAGCTTACCTCCTTGTCCCAGAACTTCTCCAGAGACATGTCCCCTAGCGCCCTGCCCAGCGACTTCTTCATTGCGTAGGCAAAAGGGAGCAGCGCGAAACCTGTGAAGCGCCTCAATTCGCTGGCAACGAAGCCCACCGTTGCACAACCCGGCGTTTGCAAATGTCAACAGGCCATTTTGGTTCCCATAAGTGCGAGGCTGGTGGTCGGGCCTACAGCTCAACCGGCCTCTGTCGTCACACGATGAGTCAGCACGAAGGTGCCGAATACTAATTACTGTGAAAGGTATGCTGCTAGGGCACGAGGCCCAAGGCAGCATGCACGTCCTCAGAGTGGCTACCTCTCACTCAAGGGCGCAACACAGTCAAAATGCGCTTGTTACAAAGGGACTCTCCTTTATGACGAAAGCACGCTTTAAAAATCAATAGGCAATCCAGTATGAAAATTATACTAGTTTCGGCTCATGGTGAGAGACCTTCTCGTCCGAACGTGTCTAGGATCCAATTTCGTCAGCGCACAGCAATGGACGAGAAAACCCACGAAACAAACAAGAAGATGAACCCATAAAACAATATCTGGAATGCACAAAACTAGTTGCTAGTCATATCCAGCTTCCAAGCTTCTATCACATCCGTAGGACTACATCCTGTTCGACAACCCATAGCGGCCAGGCAACGACCCAAAGGAGCGAGGGCTCGACGCCTTGGGCAGCATTGTGGTCGTGGTGTCGGATGTTGGCGAGAAAGGGCTCAGCCTGTTTGGCCTGGCGGGGCGGGAAAGGGGGAGTTGGAGAAAAGATAAACAAACCAAACGTGACCCAAAGGCCCTGGTGCGAATAGTGTCCATTGGAAAAAGCATAGACTGAGGGCGGCGGGAAAAATGAAGGAGAAATGGAGGAGGAGGGAGCGAACGACACAATGCACGCACGGGCTACGGAGAGCACCAAAACACGTGCCCTTTTGCTCCCCGTTCGTATGTACTCCCTACACCTTTTAAGGGTAACGCAACTGAACATGTAAAACACAACACGGCACATATACCCACAGACACCGACACGTGCGGACCACTTAAGCAAGGCATCTGACAAGCTTGATGAACATCAGAGGCCGTTTTAGAAAATAATATCGGTAAACACGCACATCTTTTCCTGAGATGGCATTTTTCCTGGATCCTGCGCCTTGGTGTCAGCGGTTTCCATGTTCAACTATTTGTGCGATGCCTTTCCCACTTCGGGTAAGCCACCAGCCATATGCCATAGAAACCAGTACAAGCTCAGAACTCACAAAGCAACATCAACATCGAAAACCATCGTTACGTGCCCCCCCTTGTACGTGCACGCATCTCCGTAAATGCATCCCCCCTTGCGGTATACTGTCTGTCTGTGCACCCCCGTTCATTTCACATGACATGCTTCCATCCAATTGACCAACACATATCTATAAGGAGGATTATTAAAAAGAAGCCCACCAGCCGACGGCTCCTCCTCACCTGCATAACTCCTGCTCCAGCCGCAGCCCTAGCAGCCGCATTGCCAGCGTCTGTCGTCGGCTGCCCACCGCGATGCTGACGAGCGTCCCCAGGACCAGCAGCCCGCAGCTGAGGCCCGCCATCAGGAGCTCGAACAGCGCTGGACGAGAGGGGCCCAAAGGGGGAGGCAGACAGCAGTGATGCCACAGGCTGCCGTACTAGGCAAATACTCACGCCCAGGTTCAACAAGGTGGGTGCTTGCTTACTCGGAAGACACGGGATGCCCACAGGCATCCCGTCCTGCCCTAACCTAGTGCCCACTAGTGCACTGCAAGCCCGGGTGTGAAGGCAGACGGATTCACGAAACGTGCTGGTGCATATTCCCAACGGTCGAACCCCACCTAATGGACCGATTCTGGAACTCCGGCTTGGTACACACGTCGCACGCTTATAGACGCACCCAGCAGGAAGTGACCGCCCACGCCTGACATGCCTTCCCAGGCATTGGGCGCCTCGTCCGGCGTGTCGTACACCAGGTAAACGCCGAACACACGGCCCAATAGGCTGGCGTGCCCGGCTACCGCAATACGCAATCTAACAGCCAGCCAGATAATCGGCGGGCCATACCTGAGGGACAAAGGCGATGTAATCTGACACGGAGGCTGTTAACAGGAATGGACGTACACAGAGACGCAGCCACAATCTAGCCACCTGCCCTCGCCCTCACCACCACACTAACCGCATACCGAAGAACACACAGCTTCCAGATGCCAGCTCGCACAGCTCTCCTCCCATTCCCCCCAATAAACCAACTACTGGCGATTACCGCACCACATCCCCGGCAGGCTGATCTCACTGTATAAGCGGCGAGCCCATCGCCACACCAGTCCGGTAGAGCGCCACGAGCACCAGTGGCACCCCCACCACCCCTACAAGGTAGTCCACTACAGCGAATGCCAGCGGAGGCGGCCGTTCCTCGTATGTCTGCGGAGGGGGCCCCGAGCGGACAGCAGGGTGCCAGTAGGAGGACATCTAGCAAAGGGTGCTAGCAAGCGGAAGCTGGACTCGGTAACCCACCTGAATGTCATCGCGAGAGAGCAACTTGCGGAAGGCATCTGGGTCCAGTCGCCTCAAATCCTGCCAGTGTGACCATGAGCACGTGACCATGCGGCGGCGCGGTGGGGGAGCAAAGCAGCTGAGCAAGGCGGATACAGGAGGCGGTGACAACCCCCAAAGATTCAAGATTCAGTCCCACATGTAACTCGGTTTGTCACCTCACTTGAATAAGAGGTGACGATTTATTGGCAATCCAAATAGTTGGGTTAAACGGAAAGGCATGTTGCCTCCAGACCCTTCCCTGACATTGCCATGTCCATGTTACATTCGTCGTACACCCCGGGTACCTTGTACAACTGGACCTTGGCCTGGGACTGTTCTCGCACCAAGATTGGAGACCGCCTCCGTTTACTCCTGCTCAGAAGGTCAAGTACATTAATATACCCATTATCGCCATTTCCTTCACATTAATACAATAATACACATAGCACAAAGAAAACACGCTGGACTGAGTGTAAGGGCAGCTGAGGGGCTCTTAGGCGAACACACAACATTGGACGTGGCGGCAGCAAAGACAGACGCCCAGGCGGTGGGCAAGCTCCATCCACCTCCCCTGTTAAGTCGTCGCTAAACCTCGGTCATGCTGTCCAGCATTGCTCGTCGGGCCCCATGGCCTCGTTCCGGGCGGGCTAAACCTCCACCCGTCCCATCATCACATGTACCGGGTCCCGCCCAACCTGACATGCTCTTGGAACTCCGCAGTCGCCATCAGCCCCTCCACACTGGAGATGGCCGGCAGCAGCGCTGCCTGACGTGACAGCAGCCCGCGGTCCCAAGCACCCTCGCCACCACCGCGACGGCCATTAGCGACCCTGCCGCCGCTGCAGTGCTGCATGGCACCGCCATCGGGGCTGTCGTGCAGCCCTGAAACGGTATCAAAAGATTCGCACTCAGGCACGACAAGAGCCAGTCGGAAATGACACATTTGCTGCTAGGTACCTGAGCTGGTTGCGGTGGTTGTCATGTTTCATGAGACACCGAGAGATAACGATGAAGAGGGCCTACGGTACAAGCGGCGTCGAGTGCCCTTCGAGCACCCGTGCCGCACCACTGGGCAAACCGGCGCTTCACATGAGTGCAGACAGCAACAGGGCGGTCACTTTCTGCAAGCAGTCGGCAGTGGGCAGTGTCCTGCACGCAACGCCCGCCAGGATCGCCTCAACTGCTCCAACCCAACCTCGCCCGACCAACATCAGCAGCTAATGCGGCGCATCTTACCGCGCATGAAGCTCGGCCCTGCTGGGTAGCTGCCCAGATGGCCAGCCATAGAATGCATCGTGGGGAGGTGGGCTGCGAAGAGCGGTTGTTCAGGCCCAGCGCCGTTACCCAACGCCCTTGTTGGGCTAAGGGAGAACAGCAATGGCCCCGGCGGCGGAGTGATATACGCCGGGTGAGCAAGGTCGATGTCGTGTAGCCAACCGTTTGGGGGCGGCGTGAGCGGGCTACCGATGATGGTGCCGGATGCGTCGTCTTGGGTATCTTGATCTTGTGAAGAGCGTGATGACCTACAGTTCGATGAGATTGTAACCCTGTTGCTCATAGTGCTGCGCACCTGAACTTAGAGAGGGCTGCTGCCACGCAGCGGCGCTAACATGGCGTGAAATGCCCTGCATGCGCCCGTACTTAGGTAGCTTGGGCACAAGAGGAATTTCAGGAGAGCGTCCTGCAATAATGGTGGCGGTCTTGCCAAAGACCTATGCATTGCACTGCCCAGCTGTCGCTCAAGCTGTCGCAGAACCATGCTATGCAACGACCTTAGCACCCATGCGTACCGTGATACGAAGGCTACAAATATCCATACAGTGGCAAAAGTCTAGCCAAATTTGCACCCGCATCACTGCGTATAAAAGAGGTTTGCCACCCAGCACACCCACCTGCCACATCGCCCTGACAGCTTTAATAGGAGCCAATGTAATGACCATTTGATAGCTTTTGTGGAGAACCACAGCACGATGGTTACAGCAAGCAAGGCGGTTGTCGCTGTAAGCAGAGAGCCTACAGGAACATCCGACGGCTCATCTCGTCTGGAAGCCGTTGCTGGTGGTGATTCGAGATCACAGGGTTGCCTCTCGGCAAGCGAGTTCCATGCATGTTTCTCGGAAAGGGTAAATGCCATGCTGCCCGCAAAGATTTCAGGTATTAGCTGCACCTAATATCAGAGCTCCCAGATGCATTCACTATGCATTACTATTTGTAAGCAACACAGCCACGCAAACGCTTTACATATCTGTTGCAAGTGATTTAAGCTAAACTGGTACGGCGTTCCGTTGGCTACCCACAGCTTAAATCGATACAAAGGTTATGCTTTCAGCTGGAACCTCTCTTGTAACATATGTAAGTTAGATAGACCCACAGCTGTCGAGACCTTGCCTGTCCCTGCATAAGCAGTTGACCCACTACAGCTATCTGCGAGCCAACCGTAAAATCTCTATCTTTAGAGCGTCTTTTACATAAACCTTCTGTAGATAAGCTTGCGCAAAGGAAGGTTGGGTATGCCCCCACCGCAAAGCTATCATCCCGAAACGGTGGTTTTCGTTCTCGACGCCTGTGAGGACCCGGGCCTTGATCATGCCAAGCACCCTTCGCGCCTGGATCTCCTCAAGCAGTGCATCGGTAACTGCGCACTGGCAAAGGTGGGCTTTGCCAAAGGGAAGCAGTGGCCTTTATTCGCCTCAAGAGGGATTGTCGCCCCGGCATGGTTGCCCTGCTGAGGCCCGATGGCCCGTACGAAGGCCCCTCCTGCGACGTGCCCAACCTCTAACTGTCCACCAACGTCCTGCTTGATCTTTTCTCCCATATGTAACGCTCCCCCGTCAGAGCCGTGTCAACCCCAGCCACAAATTTGGTCTCGCGGTTGTCCGGGTAAGTCAATTATTGAGCAAGCACCTTGGCCGCCGACACTCTTACATGGACTCCCCTTGATATCTCCCACCATGGACACCTACCACTGACGGTCCGTACCTTGTTCTGCTAGCTGCACGTTTTCACTCGCAGTGCCGACAGCAGTGCTGTGTCCATACAGCCACATGGCCCTTGTGCGGTGTCCACCCATCTGCCCCTCCACACCGCCCACCTGCCAGGACTCGGTACAGTGGGAGGGTGCGGGGGTCACTACCTCCGCGGAGGGGCTGCTGGTGGCGTTACGGGGGGTGCATCCGACCTCCTCGCCCCCGGGGGCCTTAGCGGCAGCAGTGGGGCCTCCGCCACTCGATCTGGGTTCGGTGGTGTCGCTGGTGCAGCCGCTGGCGGTGGCGGAAGAGGCGGATGGCTGCCGGGTGAGACAGGGTCCGGGTGGTGGAGGGGGTGGAGGCGGGGTGGCGGTAGAACTGTGTACGGGGTTTGAAAGGTTAGGAAGTTTGCACACGTGGCCACCACCACCACCACCACCATTCTCCCTCGTAGCAATACCGGTGTGGGCAATACCGACGTGCCTGACGGCGTTTCCCCACGTCCCCTCGCCGCCTCCCTCTCTTTCTCTGGAGGTGTCTATGACACGCCCCGCTCTGCTCCATGTCCGACAGACGCAGCTCGCCCCTTTACCTCGCCCCTTTTGCCCTGCCCTGCCTCTCCCTGGTGCCCGCGCACTGCCAGTAGGTTCGCGTGGTCCTGGTGTATTGCCGCTCCTCTGTCTTGCCCGTGTGGACCACCCGCCAGCGCCCCGGCGAGGCCCTTTGCATGGACGTGGTGAGCGTCTATAGGGGGAAACACGCGGGTGGCCGCCGCGCTACATCAAACGCCGCTTGTCCAAGCAAGGATGGACGCGGGAAACACGCCACGGACTCGATGTTTGCTCAAGGAATAGCTTCCTGTTTAAAAAATAGTTTCCAAAAAGGAATAAATTACGGTTTTCGGCCCACCTGGGATAAGGGGGAAGACATTTACGTCCGGAAACACAAATTCAATACAGGAAGTCTCCGCAGTGTAAAATGGCTCAAATGGCTCAAACGTGGGGGCCAGAATGGAGGGTCCTTAGAAGCTACCGGAAGTCAACGCGGCCTAACGCGCACATCTGACTGGAGCGGACGGGGCCAAGGGCGGCACTCCTCCCTTGGTTATCATCGCTTCATCGGAACTACCCACGGCCCGGCTTTGCAAATGGCTTGAAGGGAAATTTGTCAGAGATTTCTCGTGCTCGGAAGCCCCCAGCGGCTCGCCGTAAAGGAAAGATCGGCCCCCAAAGCCGGATTTCAACAGCAGTACGCATGTCCCCGGTGGGCGAAGCCTATCCGCACCCTCCGCCCTCCTGCTCCGGTTCGGATTTCCCCCACGCAGTTTGATCTCGGAAAGTCCAGTCCAGGCTCCCGAAGACATGTACTCTCCTCCTCCGTCGCCATCGCATCCCCGTCTGCTAACCCTTCCTCCTCCCCTGCCTTGTGTGCCTATGCTCGGTAACACCGGCCCCCGGAAACCGCATCCATATAGGGTCTCCCGCGAACCTCATCCTGACAGCCGTCTGGGTGGAGCCCACAACCCAATCCAGTGTTCGCGTTCGGGTGACGTCTGGTTATGTTCGTCTGTCCCTCCCTCGCATGGCGCGCACCACACATGCAGATTTTCGTGCACGACAAAGCAGCAGCGGCGGCAGTGGCGGCGACCCGGCCCGACTGCGCCTCACCGCAGACTGTGTACACCTGGCTCGAGGTGGGGTGGGGGGGGAGGGCGAGCTGACGAGGCGGGGGTGGGTCAGCACGGGGCGCAGCGGGGACCGCAGCTCCCTCCGCATGCTTTTCTCTAGAGCAGTGAGCGCCTCCTCTCTGTGTGGCTCGAGTTACGTCGTCAAAGGGGGGGGTCCAGTTATCGCGAAAGAGAGTCTTGAGAGCGCTGTCCGCATCAACATCACCCCAATGACTGACGGGCATATACACTCACCGCAACCAACATCAGCCACATATCCTCGATGAATTCAGTGCTAACCACAGCGTCCAACCCAACCTAGGTAGAGGTTGGCAGCGGATCAAGTGCGCGCCAGCTCAACTCCTGGTTAGTTGGTTAGTTAGTTCGCAATCCACCTTCTTAGTGGAGTCCTGTTTACGGGTTCGTGTAGAGCTTCAGAAATATAGCAGCAAGGAGCACCAGGGTGGGGGGTCCGGGGGTGGTGGGTGGTTGTGTGGATGGATGCACGGCTTGCTGGATGACTGACGTTTGTGCAAGGAGTGTGTATAGAGCGGCTAAACCGGCGGCTGGATCATGATCGTATTCAGAGGGTTACTACTACATATTGTTTGTCTGTGTGAGCGTGCGGCGTCGGCGCATGCGGTGTGTACGGGGAATTGATTTGTTCGGTGAGAACTCTGAACTCTTTGATTCATATTTATGTCATTTTGCGAGTGCGGCTGCGAGTGCGGGCTTGCGAGTGCGTATGTACGGCACAGCTGAGGACCCCCTGGTTTCAGCTACATTCCCCACAACGCGCTTCCATCCAGTCCCCTATCCACACTGGGCAGCAGCACATAGCTCTCGCACTGCCGTAAGCTGCCACCACTTGCTAACGAGGCTTTTTTGAGCGTCTGCTGTAGTAGCACGTGGGCTAACACGCCTGTGGTGGACCTCCCACCTGTTTACTGTGCGGGATGGGCCCCGTGTTATGGTCTCCTGCAGGACAATGTTGACGAGCTGTCGGCTCGTTGCGGCCATCACGCATACATTTTTGAGGCTGGTTGCCACCTGCTGCGTAAGGTGACGAACCTGATGGTAAGCAGGCAGAGTATCAAGTAGGGAGGTGAGGGAGGAAAGGGGCTCCCGATACAGCAAATATGCTAAGGCACGGAGTCACGTGTGTCCCTTGAAGGATCCTGAACTGATTCTCAACATAGAACGGGATGAAAATCCCTCGACCGTAAGAGTGTGGATGCATCCCCATGCCGATTCTTAGGACTTTAACCATATAACTGGTCAGAGACTTTTATTACCATGGTTGAACCAGTAAATACGGATGGGACCGGGACATGAACCTTAACTTGGAGATTGGTACGATACCTTTTATACGGAAGAAGAGTTCATCTTAGCGGTTATATTTGCAGCCCCCACATCACGTGTGGCCCTTTTGGCTCAAGCAGCTCCGTTATTTTGTGTATAATTAACCACTTTCCCCCCACTACTCTTTTGATTATCATCTTTGGATCATCTCCTCCCTCAGATCAGCCTAATGGCGCACCCCACACAGCGGCCACCACAGAGGGCGCTCCGTGCAGGCCCCCTGGACCTCGCCACTGTGCCTCCCCAACCCACATCTGCCACCACCGCCAGCAATACAGCTAGTGCCGGAGTCACGGTGATAAGCAGCAGCGCCTTCACTGCACCTCCTCCCATGGATGCCGCAAGCAATGGTGCGAACAGTACTACCAACACCCTGTCAGGAGCCTCTGGTGCGGCCGCGGCCCCGGCAGTGATAACTCCTGCCGCCATGCTAGGAGTGGGCAATGCTTGGGGCGACCCGGCCTTTACCACCGGGCAACACGGAGCAGGCTATTACCACCTGCTTCCGACAGCGGCTGCAGTAGCAGTACCGGCGCTGCAGCTGCCGCCGCCACCGATGGCAGACTTAATTGACCTGGCGGAGCCCACTTCTACGCTCCTTAACGAACCAGTTAACACCTTGTACAATGAGTAGCCTCAGCTACTCACCGCACCATCAGTAATACCAGCACCACCATCCCACCTCCCGCAGAGCATGTACATACACGGGAGGAAGCGGATGGTTCTCCAGCGCCACCTCACTGGTCCCCTGGAGCTGCTGTGGCACCTGGTGGTGATGTCGTGCTGGAGGCCACCTCCCAGGCACTCACGGGTCTGGTACTGCGCCGGCAGCAGCCACCACAACCACCACAGCCCCCGCCGCCCTCTGCTGCCCCACCAGGCTTGATGGAGGGTACAACAGTGGTAGACCCATGGGCAGCGCCGCCACCGCCTCCAGTGGCAGCCCCAGGTCCTTTCTGAGTGCGATGGCGACGGCCGAAAAGGGGTGGTAGGAGAAAGTGGCGTATTGCTGCATGAAAGCGGATAGTTAAGGTAATACATGGGCAGCCCACCCTGTCAATTGACCTGAAGAACGCCAGGGCTGACGTTACCCAAAAGAGACAGAAGACAATGCTGACGCATAAAAGCTGACGATACTCATACCGACCATATGCTGACAGAGGTTAGGCTGCCTCAGTGGCCTCCACCACAGAGTGAACTGGTTGCCCGGGTGAGGAGGGAGCGGACGTCGGTCGGCTCGGACACTGTGACCAGCAGCTTGCACACACCATGCTGAGCCTAAGCATCACCCTCATATTCGTTGTCCCTGTCTTCATATTCCATTATCCTTGGCCTCAATGAGCATAATTCCGAATTTTGTTAGCCTCTGCTGCCTCCACTATCGCTCTCCACCGCTAGCTTGTCTTTAAAATGTCTTTACTTTTGGGGGGCCATTGGGGTGACGCCACATCGTCCAATGGACATTTCTACTGTCATCACCGTCTGACGAGGTCCTCCGCAGGACAGCCATACTTGTCCTATAAAACTCCACGCCACATTTTAAATTCGGGATTTTCACGGCCGCTTCGGAGCATCAGCCGTGTAGAACCTCAGGTGTCGCGCGGTTCAGGACGCTAGGATATCACAGACGAGTTGCATGTGACATTTTTAGGGCTAGCATCTGGCCGGCATTTTAACGTCTCTCGCATTTAAATGCAGGAGCGTATGTGGCTGCGCTGAGCAACCTAGCCAGTTGCGTTTGACTGCAAGAGCGTCTGCATGTGCCTGCGCTCTTCTTATCCACAGCTCAAGATGGTCCTCCCTTGTTGCACACTGATTTTGCAGAATTGGAAGCCCTCAATAGCAAAACCAGAAAAAACGCATTGCCGGCGTGTGTCAGCCCCGGGCTGGTACGGGAGCTGGTAAGGGAGCTGCCGCATCGTCCTGGATGGGGCCCATCCAGGACAATGCGGCAGCTCCCGTAAGCCATGGCACTACAGCAATCGCTACTTTCAACCGCACAAAAACAGCGATGCAACCAGTCGTGATTCAAATGGCTTCCTTTCGTTCTTCGTCTGGACCCTTGGCGTGAAAGAATACCGCTACATCCCGCTAACTTGTTGTAGTTCTTACAGGGTGGTACAGCTTCACTATTGCTATTTCGGAAGAGGAATGCCGGCGAAGATATCGGGCACGATAAAGATGATAAAACCCTAAGTATAATTGTAATAGTTGCGATCGGCAGGACTTTTGGAGATTCCTGTAAGGAATACCACTCTGTGTGAGAAGAGAGAGAAACATGCGCGGTCACCACCCTAAATGCCGGCGCCAGCGGAAAACTCATGGGTCGCCCTCGTACATTCCACAATCTCGCTGCGCCGTCCTGACTGTGCCCAAATTTCCCCTTCAGGGAGACAATTAACTACCGGATATCCATCGGTAGTCCCATTAAGTTCTTGGGTAAGTCTCCCCGACTACACAAAGACCCGGGGTCAATTACCTGGCCGACAACACACGAGTTGGGACAAGGATCATTTCCTCAGCACTAATCTTGGGGTGAATTTCCAGTGCGGGTTAAGGCCAGGGATTAAGGTCCCGCTATTCCCGGCTAATCCCCGGCTAATCCCTGGCAATCCTTAAGGCCTGGGATTAGCGTGGGGATTAAGGCTGTACAAAGGGCGATGCACATTTTCTGATGCGATCCCGAAGCTAATTACCAGTTCTTTTTTTTTGTAATGTTACAGAGTGGGGGGGTTCTGGGCCGCTTTATCACATTGTCAGTTCTACGATGTATCATCTTATAGCACCGTCCACCACTACCACACTATACTTCGCCATACGAACTGTAAGTCCAAGGCGGCGGGTTCAGCCGTCTAGGGCGGACATCCATTCACCCGAACACCCGAAGAGACGGAGGGTTCGGCAATCGCCACCAATCTAGCGTGCGAATCTGGTCCATCAACTGTGACCTCAACTCCACATTTCAGCAGCTATAGCCATAATCTCGCGCTCCCGACTAATTCGGGGGTCTCCCCAGGAATCGAACCCAGGACCTTTAACCGCTGATTGCAGTAGTGTCAACCCAGACCAGACCAGACCAGTTCTGAATTGCTTTGGGCATTAGGCAAATCGTATGAGTATAAAGTATGGGCAGGAAGCGCACTCTTCTCGCCGTTGTGGCCACCGTTGAGGCCTGACATTGAAGTAGCACCTTTCGCGCAAACCAAATCAGATATTGCTACTTGCTTACTTGAGGTCATCCATATGGAAATACCTAGGTATTCCTGGGTTTTAGACATTAATGTAAGATATAACGCCATGAACGCTAATCCAGGAACGGAAAGTTACTACCTGGGTGGGGCCAGGTAATAACTTTTTTGTCACAAGTTGCCAGGTAAATACATGGACATCAAGTTCAATTTACGTTCTTTCCTAATGTCTTGCTTACCCCTGCTAGTCCTCTGAATAGAAAGCACGGTGTCCTAGGAATTCCTGAATCACCGGCGAATCCTGCTTAATCCCGGTGGGATTTCCACTGCTGGGATTAGCACAGGGATTAACGCTAATCCCTGGCGTTAATCCGCACTGGAAATACACCCTTGGAGACTTGCTAAACTGATGGAGGATGTGAAATGTGTGATGTAATGTAATGTTACAGAGTGGGAGGCTTCTGGGCCGCTTTATCACATTGTCAGTTCTACGATCATGTATCACCTTATAGCACCACCCACCACTACCACACTGTACTTCGCCATACGAACTGTAAGTCCAAGGCGGCGGATCCAGCCTTCATTCACCCGAACACCCGAAGAGACGGGGGGTTCGGCAATCGCCACCAATTCAGCGTGCGAATCTGGTACATCAAATGTGACTTCAACTCCACATCTCAACAGCTAGCCATATTCTTGCGCTCCCGACTAATTCGGGGGTCTCCCCAGGAATCGAATCCAGGACCTTTAACCGCTGATTGCAGTAGTGTCAACCAGTGTATTTTTTTCCGTAATAAAATGGCATATTTGCGTTCTGCGCTCCGTCACAGACCATGGTAAAGGCCTGGTACGGTCGTTACGGAGCCGGGGCGGGCCGAAGGCCCCCAGAGACGTTCTATTCTAGTATAAATAAGTTATAAATGAGCGATGGGGCCCAAGAAATTAACTACTATAGCTGGTCAGGGTAGCGTCAAAGCATTCCTGACCACCGGCAGGCCATAACCCAGTAGCGGTGATGCTGGTAATACTTCAAACAATATAGCGAGTACAAGAGAGACATTAGAACCAGATGACAGGGCGCCTCCCGAACGCATGTGGCGACGGACGGAAACAGCTGAGACTCTAATGAAATATTTATTAAATATGTGCTGGTGTATCAGGTACCCTGTGTGGGCAGGGGGGGCCTGGTGGGGCTTGCCCCCCCAGAAAATAATTCTGGCAGTAATAAACGTATTGGACTGATGGCATATTTATTGTTGAAGGGCGGTCCTATCCCAACGTAGATAGGTGGTAGATAGGCGATGAATCCGCCGTGATAGACGATGCCTCGGACGTGCCTCGACCTTGCCTCGGACGTGCCTCGACCTTGCCTCGGACGTGCCTCGACCTTGCCTCGGGTCTCTCAGCCGTGTATCTCGGACGTGTCCTCGTGTCCAGCGTTGATGGTGGGCGACTGTACGATACTTCCATTGGTACTGGTATATAAGACACAAGTTATGCAAGTCTTGGTATCTCATCTTCGGATGGATCGGTATCTTTCATAGGAATCTCCTAAAGTCTTCTTGCCGTTCACCCACAGACTGTAACACTTATATCGCGACCAGTCTCCTTGCCTTCATAGTCTTAACAGGTTATGAGCCCCGGTTAACGATAGTAGCTAACATAGCTAGCGCGAAGAAGGCATAGGACGCCTGCAAGCAACAGTCGGACTTGTTTGGGAGTAGGACACGTTATCAGCGATTCTGAGCGGGCACACACTTTGCTTGTTGGTTTGCCCAGCCGCTTCAGCATGGTAACGACATCCCTACTGGTGCGTGACGGCGATTCAGACATGGCTATCGTCACCTCGAAGTTCTTGACTATCGAGATGGCAAGCGGTGGCTCTGGTAAGCCTACCGAGTCGGCAGCTTTTGCTTCTGTCGGCAGTTTTTCGTTTGGCGCCTCTGGTTCTGGTCTTGGGAATCGTGGCGCAGCCAGCAGCAGTTCTGGCGTTCCTCTCCAAGAGGTGATTTGCTTCTATTGCAGCAAGCCTGGGCCCGGTGGGTCTAGCAAGGGATCAGTTTTCCCGAGGCAGGTTGCGTTTGTAGCTTACAACAGTAAGCGTCTGAGGGATCCTGGCCGAATATGGGAATGCAGGACAGTATCGTGTTATGTATTAGGACGGCATCATCGCCGTGGTCTCCAATGTCCTCTTTGACGGGCCTAGTGTCGGTCAGCGGCATAATGTCAGGGATTCCGATGATGGGTCCGATGCCGACGAGGATTTCGCACTAGTTTGCCTGGTGAGGGGTCGCTGCCTAGGGCTGGCGAATGGACATCAGGCAACACCGTCAGCGAGGGATCGCCGCATTTGTGTGGCGATGGGGCGCTGGCTGGGGCTGGACCTTCCAGAAGAGTGAATGTGAAAACCCTAAGGAAATACACACCCTGATGTGGAAATGCTGGGGGCTCGGTATTCAGTTAGGGAATGCAAACGTCCTGGCGAGTGGTGACGGAGTGTACCTGGTCGTAGTGCTACAGGCCGAGTCATTGCTGCAGTATCTGCTGGGATTCAGAGCCTAACGTTTATGCCGAAGCCATCCCAGGTCCACATGCAGACGACTGGCGGCCGTAAGTGCCGTAAAAACGTTTGTATCCAGTCGACCCATCTGGACAGCGTGGATTGCAGCAGGCGATCATTTGCTGCAACTACCAACAGACAGGCCGTATAGCTCGGAGTTGCAGAGAGAGCCGCAGCCTAACGTGCAGGGAAGGAGTGGAGGTGGTCTTGGCGACCACACGTGGCAGGTGGGGTAGCATGCCTCAACAGACAGGCGGTGGCGGCAGTGCAGTGATGCCGTGTATATTTTTGCTGCAAGGTAAGAACCACTATCAATTGTCTGACTCCAAAGCGGCTAGTATTGGTGTACCTGAGTCAGGGCCTCGGCCAAGCTCCGTTAGACTTAGGAAACACAGCCGGCTAGGCACCACTGTCACCTGTGGATGGTGAAGGAATGCCGGATGAAGCCGGAACATCTAGTGGTGCAAGCCAGCGCAGGAGTTCAGAAGAATAGGGCAGGGAATATGAGGAGATATTATAGCCCTCGGAGTGGTGGCATGGTGTTGCAGGAAGGAGGATAGTAGGTCGCATTAACATGGCTGTCACTTATCCGTACCCTGCTGAACTTTCACTGAAGCCATTTCAGGTGCAAATGCAAATGAGTGGCGCAGAGTGATGGTCGAGGAGATTGCTGCATTAGCAGCTAACGGCGTTTGTGCGCCATGTGCACAGATGCTAGCGGCGTTTGTGCACCATGTGCACAGCCTCATGATGTGCATGTGCTACTGTACCGGTGGGTGTACAAACACTGGAAAATGACAATGTCAAGCGCTCTTTTGCATGGCTAGTTGCAAAGGTGTACGAGATGTACGAGACCTTGGAGAAGCGCAGGTGTTTTCAGGCATGGAAATTATGACACTCTGGGAAAACGGGAGTCATTTTACCCGTAAATTTGGGTCAATCCACCCGTAATTTGACAGAAATTACGGGTCCGTAACACGTTACGGGTCCCGTAATTTGAGCACAAGGATACGGGTGAACATTTACGGGCGACTACCCCGGAATTACGGGTGGATATTACGCGGTGCTGCAGGTGAATTACAGGTGCATGTAACCAAATACGCGCACTATTACGGGTGAAGACCCAGTGATTACAGGTGGATATTACGCGGTGCTGCAGGTGAATTACGGGCGCATGTAACCAATTACGCACACAATTACGGGTGAATACCCAGTGATTACGGGTGGATATTACGCGGTGCTGCAGGTGAATTATGGGCGTGTAGCAGCTGACCGCTGAAAAGGTCTCTCGAGTTCCCTACAAACGCGGAGGGGGGTTAAGAAACTTAGGAGAATGCTTAAGAACGATAAGAATGTCGGAAGAACACGGAGGCGGCGGGTGTGCATTCTTAAACATTCTTACACTGGGATTAAGCGGTTTTATGTAAGTATGTCATATAAGTATGCATTAAGAATGCATCAGCCATGTAAACATTCTGTAATGAATGCCTGATGGAGCTCTTATAGTTCCCGGATAGGTAATATATCACAGTGATTGTGAAACAGTGAAATTACCATGAAATTTCATGAAAACCATCAACATGTGTCTGGGTCTAGACCTTAGATCTAATAATGCGAGATCTATGTTAGCTAACAGGTCTAATTAGGATTAGCGAGTTCATAGATATCTATGGCTACATCTATGGCTACACCAATGTAGCCAATAATTAAATCCCCTATCAATCACCATGAATATCTAGTGGGTCACACTGCATATACATCAGTGTACACTGATGGAGGGTGTCAAATTGGCGGCCCATCCTTGCATTCTTGGGGAGTCTTGGCAGCTGCAGGATGCATGAACATGCATCCAGTCGGATACATCCTACACCCCCTTTCCAAATCCTCAAGCCAATGCTTGCTAACATCCCACACCCTGCTGACTGCATCCCCTCATCCTCTGCCATCCTCATCCTTGGTGGGTTGGTGTTGACTCTTCCTGGGTCCACATTTCTATCCTTTCTCCTTCCTATCCGTATCCTGTGCTCGACCCTCCACTGCATCCTGACTGAGCATTCTGCCACCAAGGGGACGCTTGGTGGTTAATAATTAGCCAGGTGCAGCTGTCAATGAAGGTTTTGGTAAATTCGGTCTCCAGCACTCAAGGGACACCCAAGGGACACCCAAAAGACAGGGAAGCGACATCAAAAGGACATGGAAGAGACACCAAAGGGACATGGAAGGGACACCCAATTGGGTGTCCCTTGCAAGGGACACCCAAGGAACGCCCAAGGGGCCCAGGGGACACCCAAGGGGCACGGGAGGGATACCCAAGGGGCACGGGAGGGATACCCAAGGGCACCAAAGGGACACCAAAGGGACACGTGGAAGGGACACCCAAGGGACATGGAAGAGACACCAAAGGGACATGGAAGAGACATCCAAGGGACACCCAAGGGACACCCGAAAGACAGGGAAGAGACACCAATAGGACATGGAAGAGACACCAAAGGGACTCCAAAGGACATGTGGAAGGGACACCCAAGGGACTCCCAAAAGACATGGAAGAGACACCAAAGGGACATGGAAGAGACACCCAAGGGACACCCAAGGGACACCCGAAAGACAGGGAAGAGACACCAAAGGGACATGGAAGAGACACCCAAGGGACACCAAAGGACATGTGGGAAGGGACACCCAAGGGACACCAAAGGACACGTGGAAGGGACACCCAAGGGACACCCAAGGGACACCCAAGGGGCACCCAAGGGGCACCCAAGGGACACGGGAGGGACACCCAAGGGCACCAAAGGATACCCAAGGGACGCCCAAGGGACACCCAAGGGACACCCAAAAGACAGGGAAGAGACACCAAAGGGACATGGAAGAGACACCAAAGGGACTCCAAAGGACATATGGAAGGGACACCCAAGGGACACCAAAGGACACATGGAAGGGACACCCAAGGGACACCCAAGGGACTCCCAAAAGACAGGGAAGAGACACCAAAGGGACATGGAAGAGACACCCAAGGGACACCCAAGGGACACCTGAAAGACAGGGAAGAGACACCAAAGGGACATGGAAGAGACACCCAAGGGACACCCAAAGACACCTGGAAGACACCCAAGGGACACCAAAGGGACATGGAAGGGACACCCAAGGGACACCCGAAGGGACACCCAAGGGACACCAAAGGACATGGAAGGGACACCCAAGGGACACCCAAGGGACACCCGAAGGGACACCCAAAAGACAGGGTAGAGACACCAAAGGGACATGGAGGAGACACCAAAGGACACCAAAGGACACGTGGAAGGGACACCCAAGAAACACCCAAGGGACATGGGAGATACACCGTAAGGGATAAGCTTCCTCCCCTTTGGGGAGAACCTTCGGTGTCAAAGGGGTGGCACCGGAGGATACCCTCCTGTACCATCCTGCCACCGGAGGGTACCCTCCTGTACCACCCTGCCACCGGAGGATACCCTCCTGTACCACCCTGCCGCCGGAGGGTACCCTCTTTTACCTTCTTGCCACCGGAGGATACCCTCCTGTACCACCTTGCCACCGGAGGGTACCCTCCTGTATCACCCTGCCACTGGAGGATACCCTCCTGTACCACCCTGCCACCGGAGGATACCCTCCTGTACCACCTTGCCACCGGAGGATACCCTCCTGTACCACCTTGCCACCGGAGGGTACCCTCCTGTACCACCCTGCCACCGGAGGATACCCTCCTGTACCACCCTGCCACCGGAGGGTACCCTCCTGTACCAACCTGCCACCGGAGGATACCCTCCTGTAACACCTTGCCACCGGAGGGTACCCTCCTGTACCACCCTGCCACCGGAGGATACACCGACAGTATCCTAGCACGGCAGGAACGTAGTAGGGAATCTCCGGCAGGTAGGCCGAGATGTAAGCTACCTGGGCGGGGTGCTATGGTGAGGCACTTAAGTATCACGACTACTTGGTGTTCAGAGTTCAAGACTCCGCTGCCGCCATCTCAGATTGTTTCGTACGGGTCTATGTATGCTAGTGCTTATCGATGGGTTGGACTTCTTCCTGCCTCAGCAAGGACTCTAAATTCCACGCTTCCGCAAAGCCAGTCGTCCGCCCAGGTGAGCGACTGCTACAGTTTCAGTAGCCCCAAACTCTTCTTGTGGGGGCTTGTAGAAAACACATGAGTCGGCCAGCCTCTCCATGGCAAGCAAGGATGCTTCCATTTGGATTCAGCTAAACATGGCAGTGGCCTCGGGGCGCCTCTTGTTTTTCATGCAGCTGCAGCAGCCAGGGATGGTGTTGGGCAGTGGACTGCAGCAGGTATGTGGCCATGCCAGGCTGCACGCCAGTTTTTTGTACAGGGGCCAGGGCTGATAGTTGAGTTGCTGAACAGGTGTTGAGTTGTTTGTCGTACACGCACATATGTTCGTGTACGGCACTTGGCGCAGCTCACAGTATACGCACACGTTTCAGCATAGAAGATACAGGTGTCTTGCGAAACTTTAGCATCTTAAGGTTGTTTTTTCTAAAAGCATAGGTTTAGTGATAGAATTCAGCACAAAAGGTTCGTAGTCTTAGGTTCGATCCTAGCGGAAAACACACAATTTGTAAAATTTAATATAAGATTTCCCAAGTGGTTTGCAGATACCAGGAAAGGGCGATTATCAACAGAAGTATAGGTGAGAAAGCAGAGGTCGTTACATGTGACTGAATGGCTTTTTCATCATGACCACCCCTTAAGAATCCCACATTTTTAAGGCTTAAGAATGTAAGCAGCAAAAAGAATTTCCTGAGAATATGACTTAAGAATGAGTGCCATACTTAGCGAACCTATGGTAAGAACGGTTAAAACCGGCCAAAGAGCAGCTTAGTATGCTTTAGACAAAGAATCAATAAGTTGGCCTAAGAACGTATAAGAACACCCCAAAGAATGGAAGAGAATACGTAAGACTGCTGGGGCCTGAAGAATGCTTAAGAATTTGAAAGAACGGTTTTAAGATAAACGGAGGTCATACGAACGTTCTTAGAACGTTCTTAGAGCAGTGTAAGAACGTTCTAATGATTATTCAATTTTATCAATTTGGCTGGGCTAAGAACGACTTAAGAACGTTCTTAACCCCCCTCCGCGTTCGTAGGGGTTGCTGGTGGTCACACTCTGCGCATATTTATAGCGCCATACTGTGTACCGGCTGCTACATTCCCCCCCCTTTGAAGGGGTCCATCTCGGGCCCTTAGAGCCTCGTTTTACCACCAGCCTGTGCCTACCTACACCTACCCTCGGGCAGTGGGGTGCTCAAGCCCACGTCACGTCATGGTTCCCTTCATGCTAGGCGCCTTCAGGATTTTCAGGCACTGAGACAGTCCCAAAATACCACTCGAACGTGATCGGTGGGGGTTAAACCGACGTCTTCAGGATTGTGAGTTTTCACGAGGTCTCGATACCATATGTAGCAGCTGACCGCTGAAAAGGTCTCTCGAGTTGCTAGTGGTCACGCTCTGCGCGTATTTATAGCGCCGTACTGTGCACCGGCTGCTACAGGGCGCATGTAGCCGATTACCCGCCCAATTATGGGTGAATACCCAGTGATTACGGGTGGATATTACGCGGTGCTGCAGGTGAATTACGGGCGCATGTAACCAATTACACGTACAAGTATGGGTGAAGACCCTGTTGTTACGGGTTACACGGGCAGATATTACTCTGCGATGTGACGCTTACTGCGTGTTAAGTTAACGATTGGTAAATACTGCGGCAAGCCTCAAGATGGACGTGAACCCCTTGTCAAAGTAGCCTAAGTCTCAGTATGCTTGTGGACCAAGGCGCTTTGGACTCACAACGCCAACCAGCCAGCCTGACAGCCTGATGCATTCATCCCAACCATCATCCTCGAAAACAGCGTTCATGTCACCCCCCATACAGCAAGAGCTCGCCAAGAAGTCTCACCACCACTTGCAGAGTTCGTGCCTACTGCTTACTCCTATGGATGAAACCCCCGATGCATAACATGTACCGGCACCTATTGGGATTGGTCTGTCCCATCCTGCCTGGGGCCGACCTGGTGTGTGCACCCCCAATCGCTCATCACTGCTGCCATGTTACTGCTCGCTTCCACCACTGCCGCTGCTGCCACTGCCACTGTTGCTGCTGCTAGCTTCGCTATATTTGCCCGTGTCCTCCGAGCTGGACTCCTCACCAGCGTCCGACCCACCCTCCGAGCTACCCTCCTCTGTCCGCCCCCTCCACCCTCCCTTGCCTGCGCCACCCTTCCCCGCACCGCATCCCCGCCACGCTCCCTTCACCCAACCACTCACATGCGGACACTGCTCCAGAGCTGCCGCAGCGGGTACTTCTGGTCGGGCGATGCAGGTCGGTCCGCTATGTTTTCCTTAAGTGCAAAGTTGGACAAAATGAAGCTGTTTGCCCCCGATGTATGAATGCGGTGTTTTGCAACCCAAGTCCGAGCAATTCTGTTGTATGGCTGCCAGGCGTGGGGCCCTTTTGCGCTGGCAGAGGTCGTGGACAGGGTGGGAAGACGGCGGGATAAAGCCAACCTTGCGGAGGGCATGTTCGAAGCCTGTTTGAAGGATAGCGCAGTCCAGCTGCAGATTTTATTCATGAGGCAGGTAGTGGGGACGGCACGGCCATCCCACAGGCTGAACGAGCTGGCTGAACTCCCCTTACAATATTACATGCTGAAGCAGATCCTCCGTTTCTGGAACCGCCTTCAAAAGCAAGTGGGATCCATTGCTCATGCCGTTTAACGGCAGGAGATAACCGATGCCCTGACCAACCCAGAATGGGAGGGTTGGGGAATCTCATGAGATTCATTGATCAATGTTACAACTGTTTTCCTTCTTGGAGTGCAACATTTGGAGTGGAATACCGCAAGAAGTCGTGGGGGTAAAGGAGCGTGTTGCAATGGGAACCTGCACGTCTGGTGAGGATGTTGGAACGTATGTGGGCTCACAGAAACTCAATTACCCCCTTTAGACGCTAGTCTGGGCTGATGTGCGGTGTTTTCCTTTCCTCCGTGGCTTTTAGGCGTTGTAGTATTACCCTTGGGCCCTCGGCTCGTATGGGTAGTCTTACAGGTATGGGGTCACGCACCCCCAACCATGTAACACACACACACACATAACACGTCTTCGTCGCAATTAAGCCCGTGAAATTTTACGGGTGCTGTGCATTACGGCTTGGGGGATTACGGGTCAAGACCTTGTGATTACGGGTAATGTAACCTGTGGATGACTTCCAGCAAGGGCAACCAACAAAATCCTATGTTCTTCTTTATAAAAGGAATGCTTTGGCAACTTGAAAATAAGCATGTTTACAAATTTTCTTGGCCGGTAATTACATGTGAAGACCACGTGATTACATGAATTTACGGGTGAAACGGTAAACATGAATTTATGGGTGAAAACCTTTCCCAGAGTGTGAGGATGAAGCCGGGCAAATTGGTGTTGTCGCAATGTAGGTATATTGAGCAGCTATTGGAGCGTCATCAGACGGTGGATGCCAAGCCACGGTCTACCCCTTTGCCTCGGGGTTTTATGTGCACACCTACGGGGGATACAGATGAGCTGCTGGGTAATCCCACGGAGTATAGGGCTTTGGTGGGAGAGTTGAACTACCTAGCGATGAACACACGGCCTGACATTTCTTATGCATTGAGTGTTTTGTCCCGGCATATGGCCACACCTACGAAGACTGCCATGAATTTGGCCATTGGCGTTCTGCGTTACCTGGCGGGTACTCGCGAACTAGGATTGCGTTTTGGGGTGTGGCGGTGTTGCAATGTCCGGGTACAGTGATTCGGACTGGGCAGGAGACCCGGTTACACGGTTTCTACGTCTG